TTTCAGAGTGATTCCGACCAGGTCCCCCGCGATCTTCCGTACAAGGATCTTGTCAGAGTTTCCTCGGATTCGCGCGTTTTAATTGCTGTAAATCTGTCCCACGTCGTCCGTGAGAGCTCCACGAAAACGCGAAAGCGCGTTTTCCCTCGGTTTCTCTCGCGACGATCGATTGTTCCTCTTCCCTCTCTAGCTGCTTTCAAACGACGCTCCAGAAACGTAATTAAAACTCACCGATCTCTCAGCTCCTCATATGGCCATCCTATTTCTTACATAATCCTCGATTAACATAATTGTAATCAATATTCACGACGTTTTCACTTTCTCGATCATCCGATATTCACGTTTCCCAAAACTCGAACGTCTCTCCTCCATCTACGCCAAAAATCAAACATCGAGCCCCAACCCATCATCCAACCTGTCGACGAACACCATCCAAACGCTTGGTCCTATGGAACGCCATTAAAGCAGCTGTTCGACAGCCGGCTTACGCGAAAAACAGCTTGCTCTGGTTGCGAGGCCTCGCGGTTCACACGCTGTTTAAAATTCATACAAAGCGAAGTCATGGCAGGCTTGACCCACTTAAAACTGGTGGACACCGCCACCCTCCGTATTTGGAGAGGAACGAGAGTCTAGCCAGGTAATGTTCATTAAATTCACGACGGATAGACAACGATGACCACCTCGGGGACGAGATCTCAGCCGTTGTTCTATCGCTGATCTATCTCAGCTTATCATTTGACACGAATAACTCGAACGCTATCCCAGATCCGCTTTTCTGATACGTCGTTTCTTACAACGATCGAAGGCTCTTCTTGGGGATTCGCAAAGGTTGTTAGAATCCATCACGGTTTCCCTCTCTGGAGAGATCTCCTTGCGTTAAAACGTATTCAACGAGAGATCAGCGTGGTTTTCGGTGAATCTGGCTTGGGTATCTCTTTCTGTAGAGGAATTTATTCGAGCTGATCTATGAAAGAGGTATTAGGTACGATCCTTTTGCCCCTGATAGACGATTTTTATGCATTGAAAATATAAGACATTGGAGTTTGAGAAGGTAAATCGAAGAGGATAGGATCTTATGAACCGAGACCACAGCCTAGGGGGCGCTCCAGAAACTCCATTAATAGGAACCTTCTTTCGTTATTCTTGAAAAGATGTCTGTAATATCGAATACTCTTAATTAAACGGTAAACACCTAATTAGCTTCCAGATAATATTAAACGTTCTCACTGAGCATCTGCAATTTTTAAATGACATTTTCTTAAGTCCACAGTCCACTAAAGTGATTAGCTTCTCCTTTGAAAGTTTTCTAAAGTTTGGTACCAGGATACTTCATTCCAACCTGACCTAAACGTGTCTTATCAATTTTATTAAAAGCATTTATGCATCTTCTGTACCTGCAAAAATAAAATATCCGAACCAAGTCGTTTTGACTCACTTGCTAGTTCTACTGTAAATTTCCTACCCCAAAATAAAACTCCTAAAACACCACGAACGTCCAGTACTCCCTATACACTCTTATCGCAACCATGCTTCCAACTTTTTCGCTCTAAGATCGATGTTTCGTGTCAATTGTCGAACAAATAAACTGAAGCAAGTTCAGCTCTTCCGTGCGAATCGCTGCAGTCAACGTGAATCGTGGTGCCGTTTGCAGATAAAAACGAGCAGGACGTCGACAATGGCCACGGCTCGTTCGTGTCAAGGTTTATCGGCACGGTTGATAGTTGAGGTTGGTCCAGGTTCAGGACGCCGCCATAGTAGGGAATTTCGAAAATTCGCTATCAGTGACGCGACGCGCGCGATAAGCCAGAAACGCCGCTATGGCCAGGCAGTAAATTCTCGACTCCGGTGCAACGGGACGTTTGATTGGTCCGTATCAGTGCAGGCCGATTTTCATGGAACGGAAGACCTACACGAAGGGTCCACGACTCTTGACGGTGTGACTGCACTCTGGTGTCGTTTAACGGGAAGATAAGGGAAACTCTGAAATGAGATTTCTTTTTTAATGTTTGCTTGATTTATAATAAATAAATAATCCTTATGTTTGACATTACTATACTTTTCAATTAATCTTTTCCAAAATATCGTCGTCGATTGCATTTTCCAAATCTTCCTCTCGACTTATTCTTCAACGAAGAATAGTCGATCTTCAATTCCACATACCATTGTCGAGCTATCCTAACATTTACATAAGCCTCTTCGAATGCCGACCTCATACTTTCAGCAGATTTTACGATACATTTTCCAAGTTTAAACTCGTAAAGAAGTTGGGCGAATATACCAATATTTCATGACATCGAATAGCCAAGTTCTAACAATTTTCTTACGACTTTCCCAAACATTCAGCAGTCTACGTGTTATTACATTGTGATATATATCCAAGAAATATCCGAATTTTTAACAAAATTTAAAACGCGAATAATTACAATTTTAATAATGTTTTACAAAATGCGGAAATAGAATAACTAAAAAGGAATACTAAGTATGCGATACGGTATCCATGTCAAATGGTCCATTTTTCCTAACCTAAACAGCGAACTGATCGCACGGTAAGCTTAATGCTTTAATTTCACAAGATTCGAGATGACTTTCTGAGAACCTAACCTAAACCAACGTAAACTGATAAATCGCCAATAAAAAAAAACTTTTCTTCACGATTCCAATAGTCAGAAAAGCTATATAACCCTTTTCATCGAATGAACGAGCATCCCAATGCGTTGGACATTACGCAGGTGCTTCGAAAAGGTTGCAATAACGACTCGTGGCGGCTCCAAACCACGAAAGATACGAGCTCATTTTGCTGAAAGTCCGCTGTTGAACGTTCGAAGAATCGCAGTAGCAGCAACAATGAGAATTCCTTTCGACCACGTTCCTCGGTTCTAATATTAAATTTTCCAGAAGCTCGCTTATAAACGAGCCACTCGATAATATTAAAACCAGCACACGAGAGATCCGTCCGCGATCCGTCAAACACCGACGTCGACCTAGCACGAATTCTGAAGAATTTCTTACACTCGCCGCCAGAGGGATGCACGTGACGGTACGCGTTCGTTGAATGTCTTCGTCTGGCCACCCTCTTACATATGTAAATACTATTAGCTCGAACTTTAGTATCTCACGAACAAGAGAATAAGCAAAGCAATAGGTGTGCTTACAATTCTTTTTATTCGTTTTAAATATACGAAATAGACTTTTCAAGTAAAGATTTTCGCAATATTACGAAATATTGTCTTATTCGCTATTATATATCAACAATATTAACTATTATCATTCTGTTAAGTGACATATGAGACACCTCTCTCGAGTATAAGAAGTTAAGGTTAACACTCGATTGACAATCATCGAAATATAATTGCGAAGCAAATTACTCTCTAAAAGGAAGGAGAGAAATATCGAAAAATATCATGATGCTATGCAAGGAAAAATTGAAGAAGGGCTCTTTCGTTTGGAACGCAGCGCATTGTCCGATTGAAGCATCGAAGTATACGCGACACCGTAAATTAAGCGTGTTTTCGTTCCATTCGGAAACATCCACCGTTGCAGGTTTTCTCGGGGAAGTCTCAACAAGCGCAAACACGCGGCGGGTAATAATTAGAAAAGTCAGACGCCGAGGTATCTACTTCTCATTAGTGGAACTAGTTTGTCATTGGTTCTCCGCGTTTTCGCTCGTCTCGAGCGCACTACCGTAATTTCAGCCCACCTGTCTCCCGCGAACAGACAATTATCACGGTCGTTTAATACGAATTTCAGATCGCTCACCGTGCAATGAATAACACAGGAAATGAAGCTTTTCACTAGACGGGACAGGGATCTCTCCCCGTGTTTCATTCGATAAACTGCCACGGCAAAAACACGGGTGCTTATTATATTATTTATAGGTTATAACGCTAACCAATCATAAATTGAAACTACCTTCAAAATATTTATTTTGTATGTTTTGTGTATATATAATTTTCTTTATTTTTATAATTTTTTAATTACTCTCTACACTATTTCTACTATATATATATTTTTATTTTTGTTTTAGAAAAATTAAATAATGATGATTCGAAAGAAATGAAATTATTGGACTTCTGTTTAATCTGCGAGGAAACGAAACTGAATTATGTTAATCGATACAAATATGGAATATGCAATATTTTATTTATATACAGTACGATATTTCATTTATCTTCCCGGAGATTCGAGATGCTTTGTAATTGGGAATAATTATCGAATAATTATATCGATGGTATACAATAACTATTTTATGGTATAAAATCTCCCAATTCGATGATTAATGTAATATTCGTCGATTATGCAGACAAAAAGGGAAATAATATATTCCATCTCTGCGATAACTAACCGAAAATATCCCCAATTTAATTAAAACTAATCGAATGAATTTTAATGAAATTTAAACCCCGGTTAACTTTGAAAAAGTAAGAGGGAAAGGAAAAACTGAAAGCTAAGGTATTCGAACGTTACTATCCATTATGATGCAGCGGACTTTCCGGTGTAGGCGGAAGCGGACGAGGGTCGGCTCGAAACGGCATAATTCCAATGCAAACAAGTGTCGAGGGAAATAACCAAATTCCCTTTAATTACCAACAGCAGTAGCCTTGGAAACGAGAAACTTCCTTTGAAGAACAGAAAGAAAACCTTGAGACTTTCTGACTAAAGATGTAAGAGTTATATGGAATAATAACCATGGAATAATCATGGAATAACCATGGAATAACTACAGAATAAACATGCAATGATCGTAAAATAATTATAGAATGACTATAGAGTAATCATGGAATAACCAGAAAATGACTATGGAGTAGTCGTGGAATAATTATGAAATAGTCATAAAATAATCGTGGAATAACTATTGTATGGCCATGGAATAGCCGTGGAATATTCATTAAATAGCTAGGAAATAACCGTAAAATAATCATGAGCTAAACCTATAGAATAACCATAAATATATTAGGCGACATAACGTCTAACGTAAACGATGTGCCTTTTCTCTGTTCCAGGTGTAGAATGCGGCGATACAAAGCGCGGTGCTCGCCCGCGACGAGGCGATGAGAAGGCTGAATGGAGGCCGAGGAAGCCTCAGAGCCCCCTGGGGCTCCGACCAATGTTCCCGCGTCAAAGTACAGCGAGATGAACCGTAACCGCGCACTGCAGCCAATCTAAATTGTCACCTGTTCTGATTTTCTTGCTATTTCCACGTAACCACTGCTAGAAATCACACAGATAACACCATTATCGATCAACGAAACGAGCGAAGCTACATAACCTCACAGTCCACATTGGAGAACGATCTTATAAGGGTCCGCGCTATTACATACCTGAACCAGGTGGTCGACCACCACTTACAGTTAGCCTAGACAATTTCGAACAACAAAGTTCTTCACTGACACGGCCTGGCATACTTCCTATTCAGACGCACAAGCTGCTTCGAACCACAGAGTCGTGTCTGATGCGACCATAGACCTCGTAAGGTCCATTGACACGCGACAGCGAAGAAACTTGAGCAACGAAACGTGATTACGACTAGGATCGGGTTTATCGATTAGGTATAAAAGGAAGGAATCATTAGGAGGATGGCTGCACCGGTGATAGAGAAGAAGCGGTTCTTCTGCCGCGAGTGGGCATTCACCAAGCTGTCCCATTGCTTGGAACAGAGGCCAACATCGAAGACCTGCGGTGTCCTGGTCGTTGGTGGACCAGGAAGCGGGAAAACGGCATTCAGTGCCGAGTTAGCTTGGCCATCCGCAGGTGCCAATGCTAGACATCAGAGATCTTTGAACAGGAGACTACTGGCTAGGCATTTTTGTCAGGCCAGGAGCGAGGCATCCCTGTCGCCAGCTCAGTTCGTAAGGTCCCTGGTCGCTCAGCTACTGCAGCCTGGATCGGATGGGATTCACAGGTTGGTGACAGTGATCTAGGGCCCTGTAACATGTTGATGATCGAGCTGACGTTTAACATTGGGACTATCAGTCTTTAACGTGTATTTAAATATATTTAAATATAATATACCTTTGTTAATTAAATTAATAATGTTGAAAATCAGTCATTTCGATTGATTTGGTAGTTCCAGTGTGAAGCTTATCACGAAATGAACTCCTTATTCCTTTTTCACATACAACCGAAAATTTTTTCAATGATTACATCGTCATTCATGACAAGGCGATTAATTGATCTCGAACAGTCGATGATACAGGATGTTTCACAACATGTAGAACCTATTTCAACTAAAATCCCCGGATGAGAAGGCACAAAAACAATGAGAAAAGTTTGTATAAACGTGAGAACTGTTTGACCTCATTTCCGAGTTACATTTTCGTGTATTAGTAATGCAGACTTGCTGGCCTTCCTAGAAACCATTTGAAATAAGCACCTTTGATTCCCACAGAAGCCTATCATCCTCGGACAGTTGACAAACGTATTACAAAGTCTCACAGTCATTTAAAATTTCCAAGTACTCGTCTACCATATACACAATTCAATAAAATCAATTAGACTATCTCAGTTTCCCCCCAAAATTTATTAAAACGAAAATAGCTTCAGAAGTAGAGTCATGTAAATGATACACTCTGTATGAAACACCCTGTATATTCGAATATTTGCGAATAATTCCTTAAATGTCCATAGGGTGTCTTCGAGCTCACCAATACCAGGCAGCACAACCACTAACGCCACGCCAGTGTCAATGACATCGAGGGAAATGGTAGCAGAAGCCTACGCAGAGAAACTTAGAACCGATCCAGAGATACAGGCCGCCTTGCAACCGGATGTTCTCGACAGAGACCCAGACGACGCTTTAAAGAAGGCTCTGCTCTTTCCTCTGTTAGAATTGGAGTCACCAAAATGTTGCCTGTTCCTGTTAGTCGACTCCATCGACGAGGGACAGACACTGGATATTTCACAGACGGGTACCAGAGACTCGAGGAGAGACAACGACAACGTCAGCAGAACGATCGCCGAATTGTTGGCCAATCATCATCATCTGTTCCCTCAGTGGTTGCTGCTCGTTTGCACTGCACGACGTCAGAGCAAACCGATCTCGCGGATGTTCAGCGGCTTCAGGAAGATACCTTTGGATGATCTGAGGAAGTCCTTGGTAGTGAGAGACATCCAACAGTACATCCTCGCACGATTGGATCAAGAAGATGCGCTCAGGTGTGTATTTTTTAGTTTTGGTAGCATTGAAGCTCTATTTTAAGTATGTATTTTTTCTTGTTCTTATTATTTTGACGTTCGAATTAATCTTTAGTGCTACTAGATCATCAGCTAAGAATTCGTCATAAGAACAGAGTCGAATTGTTCTTGAATTGCAACTAGTTGGAACGTTCAGTCCCTATCATTTTACCTCTATGTAAATTAATGTCTCCAAAAAGTATGATTGAGATAGACCATCCAACCAAAAAAACGGGAGCCACTCATTTGCCACATCAATTAACTGCACAAAAAAGTAGAGGATGACTCATATCTGTATTTGCATTGATAAAGGCCACTTATCGTACATCTTTTTTTGGAAAATATTTCCGTCTGAAGTCCGACACTTTATCCTATTAACATTCGATGAATCCCTTACCTTACGATTTAAGTTTCAATAGCGCGTGCCACAATCAGCAACAGAGTTAGTCACACGTCGAGCCATTTCGTCCGAACGTGGTGGGAAATAACACGTGATTTAAACATAAGAACATCGATGAAACTTAACTACGAGCCTCACTCGTATTGTTTACATTAGGCCCCTCTCTCACCCGTGATATTTAATTTGGGCCAATCTCCTTACCACGAGTCTCACGCGGTATTATAGACGAAAGGGTTAAAGTACAAAATTTTGTTCAACACACAATTGATAAAGAATGTTTTCAAATCGCGACATTCAACCTCTACAACCATTGTACCGATATACAAACACTGTAAAACTTCTGTTTTCGTTCATCCAGGCAGCACATCTCGCGCGACACAGCCGAGATGCTAAACCAGCTGCACATCAAGAGCAACGGCTGCTTCCTGTACCTGGAGAAGGTTCTCGACGGCGTGGCAGAGAATTTCATCGTATTACGCGAGGTCCGCGAGATACCAGGCACCTTGAACGGTCTCTACCTGTGGCTGTGCCAGCGACTCTTCAGCCGAAAGCAATTTGCCAAAGTTCAACCATTGCTGAATGTGATCCTCGCGGCAAAGTTTCCGATCACCCAGGAGATACTCTACAAATGCGTGAAAATCGCGTGCAACAGCATCACCATAGAGGACTTCAATCGCCGTTTGCACCTCCTACGCAGAGTCATCTCTGTCTCACGCGCTGGAGCATTAATGCTGTTCCACCATAGCTTCGCCGAATGGTTGCTGGACGTGAAACACTGCACACAGAAGTACTTGTGCTCAGCTGTGGAAGGTCACGCCATGTTGGCCGCTTATTACACCCTTCGAGGTCCAGAGTTGAACGCCGACGAGATCTGCGTGTTGGGCCAACACCTGCAACGGGCTATCACGAACGTGGCCACCACAAATTGTAACTTGGACGTGCACACGCTTCAAGTGCTCTGGATGATAGGGAGCGGAGCACCGATAGAAGATTGCTACCTGGACAGCTCGGAATGCATCCTTTGGCCAAGGCAGGAGGTGAAGCTGTTGAAACTCCTGATCGATGCTGGCGCCAAGCCGTCAGAGAAGGTCGTGGAAGACGATGCTAGCAAGGATGCTGTCTCTTCTAGTCAAGTAATTCACTTTGCTAGATCGTGTTTGCTAAAGATTGGTGTAGTAGGATTTCAGAGTAAATTCTCCGTGATCTTCTTGAGTATTTGCTCTGTCAGATAAGCTAACACTGCGTTTTGCCTATTACTATCTCTGAATCGTGATTTCTGTTTCACGACATTTCAGCAGGTTTACCTTTTACTTTCATAGTTTTATAAATATTTTGTAAAATTATGTTTCTCTTTAAAACTTCTTAAGAATATATATTTAACCCTTTGACTGCCATGCCGAAATCACATGTTTCGCTCAGGACACCACGGAAATGCACCGCTAGATGCGAGATTTGTTCTAATATTTTTTTGGTGTTCTAATATAAATTTTTAATCGTTCAATGGGGCACTTTTTATTTCAAAGTATCTTCTAATTAGCGGTTATATTCAAAATGCACTAACTGTCAATTTTCATTCAATGTTGTTCAATGCAGTTCAAGTAGTGCAAGCGCTCCGGTCACCAATGACCACCGTGGCGTCACAAGACAAACCGTGACCGGTCATATATGATCAACAAGGCAATCAAAGTGTTAAACTCTAGCCTTCGTAGTTAAAATCGTAAAATAGTTATGGTTCCCAAAACCTTCGTGATGGCGCATAGGCTGTAAGTGAAAATAGTAAAAACGGTTACGATGGTCTTTGGTCATAGGTCTCGCAAGACGTAAGCCCTATGGATGAATCTCCTAGCGAACCATTAACGGAACTGCTTGGCGAAAGCGGGGACATCAATCAAGCTGATTCTTGCGGGCGAACAGTGCTGCACACGCTTGCTGCAGACGGTAATGCATCTCTGCTGGAGCTGGCTCTAGCGACGTGTCCTCAGGCAAGGATCCCCATTTTTAAATGTATATTTACTACTCTGGATACATTATTAGGAGCATCAATTTATTCAAAATTCTTCTGGGACTTCTCTCAGACTGTCGGATAATCATGTTCTTATCAGTGTCAGCAACTTATCATTGATCGTGATTGAAAACAAAAATGATCATGGCACTATAACTGATGTAAGAAAGAAAACGTGCGGAAAGACCTTAGAGTGTGAACAATAACCATGCGTATCAATGATCTTTCCTTGTTAATCAGTAATCATTGTCATTCTTGTAGAAAAGAAGTATCCATGCGAATTGAACTGATTGATATATTATCTCGATGCGATAGAAATAATATATTATAGAAATTGATTATATTATTGTATATCATATATCTTTGTATTTGTATATATACAAAACATATGTATTTATTCATTTATTATTGATGGATTTTTAACTATACAGGCAAAACTGGAAGCCACTGATCGTCACGGTCAAACACCGTTAAACCTGGCTGCCAGACACGGCTATGCAGACGTGGTACGGGTCCTCCTGGCTGCTGGAGCCTGTGCTGATCACGCTGACTGCGATGGATGGACAGCCCTTAGAGCTGCTGCTTGGGGTGGACATACTCAGGTAATCATTGCGAAGATAAGAAGAGAGGCCAACGGTGAAACTTCGAACATCGAATCATCTACCCTTAACAGTCATCATCCTTGCATACAGTTACGAATAGTCGTTTGACCGATCAGAATTGCAATTAACAGAACAAAAACAGTCGTTCAATATATCCCGATATTATACGAAGGATTGCGAGTATTAAATATGATGAAAAGGGGAAAGTAAGTGAAATATAAACGGTGAAATAAAAATATAGGTAGTCGAAATGCTGTTGGAGCACGGAGCAATGGTGGATTGCGCCGATTGGGATCAACGAACCGCGCTCAGAGCAGCCGCATGGGGTGGCCACGAGGACATCGTTAAAGCACTTCTGCAGCACGGCGCCGACGTCAACAGAACGGATGACGAGGGTAGAACCGCCTTAATTGCCGCTGCCTACATGGGCCACAGTGAGATCGTCGAACACCTTCTAGACTTCGGCGCGGAGATCGATCATGATGATAACGACGGAAGGACTGCCCTCAGCGTTGCTGCCCTCTGTGTCCCTTCCAATCATGGCTATGCAAAAGTTAGTTCCGCTCCCTCGTTTTTGGGTGTTGCTATTGTGCGAAAGGAGGAACGTGTTACGGGACATGCAAGAGCAAGATACTTGCAAGATTTATCGCTGTACAGACATAGCTGGACAGTCTTTCTCATATGTACTAACAACGAAATTTAAGCTTATCTGATATCATTCCATTATTTTGTCACGCCATTCTTCCTTTTTTTTTTTTTTCTTATTGCGTAAGATAGTTTACATTTAAAGTAAATAGGAAATAGTGTGGGGTGTAAACTCGAATACCCAATTATTGATTTCAAGCTATGCGATTTTTCAAGAAAGGTATTTTGGTAGCAGCGAATGCATTGAGAGATAACTAATAAAAGCATGAAAAATTTTCATTTTATATTAATCGAATTGTGAAATTAATTAATTATAAAGTGTCAGATATCTTCATAATTTTGTAAAACACGTGATACCGATTTAATAAACGAATATAATCTTCTGTCACAGGTGGTTACAATCCTCTTGGAAAGAGGAGCTGCAGTCGATCACCAGGATAAGGATTGCATGACGCCATTGTTAGTGGCCGCATTCGAGGGGCACAGAGACGTTTGCGAGTTGTTGTTGGAATACGAGGCAGACGTGGATCATTGCGATGCTACGGGGCGCACGCCTTTGTGGGCAGCTGCCAGCATGGGTCATGGATCAGTGGTCGCTCTTCTCTTATTCTGGGGATGTTACGTTGACAGTATCGATAACGAGGGCAGAACCGTTTTAAGCGTGGCTGCTGCCCAAGGTAGTACGGATGTGGTGAAACAATTATTAGACAGAGGTATATCTTCCTTTTCTTCTTCTTCAATTGATCCTATTTTTAAGTTGGAGAGGACGACTATTAAGTTTGGTTATGTTTTAGGTTTGGATGAGCAACATAGGGACAATTCAGGTTGGACGCCATTACATTACGCAGCATTCGAGGGGCATATCGATGTTTGCGAAGCACTACTGGAAGCTGGAGCCAAGATAGACGAAACCGACAACGATGGAAAAGGTGCATTAATGTTAGCTGCGCAAGAAGGACACGCTGCGTTAGTCGAAAGATTGCTGGAACAACATGGAACGCCGATAGACCAACATGCTCATGATGGGAAGACTGCCCTCAGGTAATATGGCAATAATAACGTTTCAAATGGATTTACTACCGATGTTTAATTTTATAATACGTCTTCGCGATAATCGAAAACAATATAATAAATTTCAAATGGATTTACTACCGATGTTTAATTTTATAATACGTCTTCGCGATAATCGAAAACAATTGCAGACTCGCAGCATTGGAGGGGCATTACGACACTGTCAGAGTGCTGTTAGCTCATAACGCAGACGTGAATGCAAAAGATGCTGATGGAAGAAGTACTCTGTATATTCTTGCTTTGGAAAATAGACTGGCGATGGCGCGATTCTTATTGGAGCATGCACGCGCTGATGTAGAAAGTAGAGATTCAGAAGTAAGTAAAAATCTTTTTGTATTTCTAGTTATATTTTACAAATTTGTAAATTTAATGCAATTTTTTAGGGTCGAACTCCACTGCATGTAAGTGCTTGGCAGGGACATGTCGAGATGGTAGCTCTGTTGTTGACAGAAGGTGGTGCAAGCGTAAACGCTTGTGACAACGAGAATAGAACTCCGTTACACTCTGCTGCTTGGCAGGGGCATGCAGCCATTGTCAGACTACTACTGGAACATGGAGCAACACCTGATCATACTTGTAATCAAGGCGCAACAGCTTTGGGTAATGATAATATTCATCATTAACGCCATTTTCTATTGTATAATTAAAGGCATCTCCATTGAGTATTTATATAAGAAAATTATTAAACTGGTCAATATCGATCAGGTATCGCCGCACAAGAGGGCCATGAACATTGCGTACGAGCACTCTTAAATCACGGTGCTGACCCCAACCATTCTGATCACTGCGGTAGAAATGCTATCAAAGTAGCTGCTAAAAGTGGTCATGACACCGTAGTCAGACTACTCGAGGAACATTCAGCTAATCAACGAAGTCTAAGGCCTGGTATCAACGGAGGTTTGTTTATTTTTTTAATTATTTTATAATCTATAATTGTTTCTTAATCTATAATTATTTTATGCTATTGATTATAGGTGGAAGTAGTAGTGCTACTTCGGTAACATCAAACTCGACAGCTGAAACAAAACCATCGTCCGCAATTCTAAATCCTCTGTCAACGCAATATAGTCCAGCAGAATCGCCGGATTCAACAAAAAGAAGAAGTTGTGTATCCTTGGGTAACAATTCCAGCAACAGTAAATCTAGCAGCAACCTGACTGGTAGCACAAAAAGTGATCAGGGGAAATTCAACCAGAATTCGATGGTGAATCAGGTAATAAAAGTAGGTAACAACGTTGTTTCTAATGCTTTTCCGATTAACTCTCTTGTGTAATTTGAAGAGCCAATTCGAGCTCTCCGATACCACTTCCAATCAATTCTCATCCGTCACGTTCCATCACCTTTTTCTGGCTGCATGTTTTGTTCACTCTGTTTTCATACGCCCGTGTACAGATCGTTTTTCTTCGTACAAAGATTTTATTTAAATGCAATTTATTAATTTGGACAATTTGGTGCACATTTGAGGCAATTAATTGATTCTTACACAAACGTGTAGAAACCAATTCGATCTATACACGCTATAAATTTAATTTCTGTGGGAACCTCGCATTATCTGACTACTATAATTTTAGACACCATTATCTTTCACGCAACAACTGCAACAATGCTCAAGAGGAGCGAAGAGTCGTCCACTTAGCAAACTTTTGTCGCCTCTGAAAAGCGAACCGCAGAGTCCTATCTACGCTTCGCCACCTCATTCACCGTTAAGTGACAGCCTGATACCCTATTCACCAACGAATACAAGCCCACCTAGTGCTCAAACCGCGGCAAATGCAATACAAAGTCAACTCGGGGTATCATTGTTAGCCGGAAACCAGAATATACCATATAAAGCGCAACTCGGAGGATACAATCACACGTCAGCCATTTACGAACCGATTAATATAAAAACGGAGATCATCGACAAAAATGACATTAGTAAACCGTTTGAATTAACGAACGAGATGTTAGGTTTAAGCGTGACAAAGGACAAAAAGAATGGGCTTGACGAAAAGAGAAATTCAGCCGACACTCATTTCACTAGAGACACTCACATGAGGATAATATTGGGAAACAGCGGTGCTGGTGTTGGCAGAAGTGTAAAACACACCTCTGACCATACACCTGCCAGGTAAAATTGTATTTTGATAAAAATAATATATATGATATTAAAAAACTCTCTCCATATTGCCCGAATCTAAATATGAATTATTGGTACTTGAATAATTAGCCATAGATAATTTTTGAAACTGGAGAGACTTTTCTAATGGACTATAATACGCGGAATATAAGACACTTCTAAAAGGAATAATTTTTCATTACAGTGCAAGCAATGCAAAACCAAAGCGTAATGGCTTGGTTTCCAATCCAGCCATGAGATTAGTAGCAGGTGTTAGAAATGGAATTGAAAATGCAACTAATAGAAATAAACCTATTACAACGCGAGTTAATGGATTTCAGTGGAAGGCTGAGGCACGAAAGGAAACACCTTTGTAGGGACAGGTATTAACAGTTTCACTTTTGAAGGTCACAAAGAATATCTATGATATAATGATAAAAAGGCAACGTATTTCAAAAGATTGTAAAGAAAGAATAAATCACCAAACACTTAAAAAACATTCAGTTTGTACAACAATTTACAAATGTTTAAAACGATGTATTTAATGTATTTTTCTTTACAATACATTTCATAATTTCATTGTGCTTTACAAATATACATAATTACAATTTTCATTCAATCCTACACTTAGTATTAGAATTTTAATATGTTCATCCCTTAAAATTTCATTTAACTCAGTTTTAATTTAAAAATTATTGAATGATAAATTTTTAAGTACTTCTTTTTTGAATATTACATATTCGAATGATATATATACATATATATATTCGATTTATAAAAAAATAGAAGTAGCTGATCCTTATGAACTGTAATTACAGTGTGCAGTTTTGGAAGTGGTATCAGTAGATTTTTGTACTCCTTTTCTACTAAATCGTAACTTATAAATATTTTGCATGATCAGAAATAACTATATATATATATATAACATTAGAGTTTGCAATAAGATTAGAAATTTAGCAAAACGTGAGTTTTAAGAGTTTTAATGTTTTAATCTTTTCAGAATAACCATCTCACTAATCTACGTTTAAGTGTGTTGTGTCAAGTTTATTATTCATGTAATAATTAATTATAAAATATTTGAAAATAAAGAAGAAGATCTAATCAGAATCTTAATTTTTTGTGATATAGGTTGTGTTGTCAGAAACACCTCAACAGGACACCGGAATCCGTTACTGCGGTTGGCGAATCGTAATCACCAAAAAGCGGAAGTCAATAAACAAATTTTTCTCTTTTTATTTGAGCAAAATCAAATTACCTCATATAAAAAAGTAAACAAAAAAATGATTTATAAGAATTGCGGTTGAACAAAAAAAGAAACAAGACGAAAATTGCGTAATATACAAAAAAAACCAAATATTAAACAGTATAGAGAAATATGTAGATCTAGATATGTAAACTTTACGAAACATGACTTTGTATAAATGTAACGTTAATAAATTCTTTAATGATCTCACTAATACTTCATATAAACGAAGAAAAGAAAAAAAAAAAGTAAACTAATTATTGAAACCTTTAAAAATTAATAGTCATGATTTTGATGGAAAAGGACGACGATATATTATGAGATTTTTCTTCAGAAGACTGGATGCAAATAAAATGCATAATGTGATGTGAATGATTCAGAATTGTAAAGATATGTATAAATTATATTGAGCAATTTAAAGAAAAATGTAGCATGATAATGCGAACTCAGTTACAAATACGTAAAATTATGGCCTGAAAATTAATAAAAACGTGTGTAAATACACATTCTTCATGTATTGTGCACGATCATATTTATTATATTGTAATAGATGCAAAATAAATAAAAAGCAAAATATTAATATTAGTGATTTATTTATTTATGTAATAAAGATACTTTTTTAAAGAATAATTTAGCAATAACTTTGTTGAAACAGCTCCATCTAAAAAGAGTATAGTTAGAAAAGTTTAAAGTAGAACTATCTCGTACATTCTATCATGATTGTAAAAGGGTCATAAATATATCCACTGTCACAAGATATCTTTCTCAAGGTAATATCCTCTATTTTTAAGTAACGTTCCATCCATATTCCTAACACTTTAGATAAAACTGTAGACCCTATAAAAAGTCATTCTTTTTTCTTTTTAAATTATAGACCACAAAGAAAAATTTTCTTTTATCTTTCTATAAGATAAGAATTCTTATCTACATATATATAGCACTCTAAGATTGTGTTATTAACATTTGTGTAAAAAAGACAATAAAATTTAATGATCTCTAATATAAAATATAAATTCTCATGGAATTCAAACATATTGAAATAGTGTAATTCTGTAATATTGTTACACAATGAATATAACAAAAAAAATATTGAGACAAAAGCTAATATTAGGTACAGTTATTGGTGTATGTACTGGAATTTCAATAGGATTCATACTTAAAACTTTTACTTCTCAACCATGGTCCAAAAGAGATATAATGTATCTAAAATTTCCTGGAGAACTATTCATGAGATTGATAAATTGTTTAATATTACCTCTTGTAACATCTAGCATAGTGAGTGCTACTTGCAACTTGAAGAAATCAGGTACATAAAAGAAGATTAATATTATTTTCACTGTCATATACAAATTTTTGTCTACATAATGTCAAATTTTCAAATACATAGGTCACATTGGAACAATGGCATTATATTATTATATGACAACAACATTCCTTGGAATAATATTAAGTGTAACATTAGTTCAAACAATAAAACCTGGTGACTTACTTAAAAATGAAAATATTGTGTCACAAAATACAACTAAATCTTTCATTACATTGGACACAATTTTAGATTTATTTCGGTATTTTAATTACAATGTCACATAAACTTTACTTTATGCCTTTATTTGTTCAATTTACTTTTTATTTATATTGCAGAAATCTTATGCCAGAAAATATAGTGAATGCATGCTTATTTCAGGTAATAAAACTTTATCATTTCTTATCCTCCATGTTTAACAATTGTTACAATTAAATTAATTCAAGTAAAAAATATAAAAAACCTACTATTTCAGTATCAAACTGTGTTAGAAAAACCAAAGAATGAAACAGGTATGTTAAACAACATTATAGACAAATGAAACTTATAAAATTTAAATAAAATTTAATTTTCATCTTCTAGTACCCATTGATGAATGGAAAATAGACCATACAAATGTAGCAGGAACAAATGTATTAGGATTAGTATTCTTTAGTTTAATCTTAGGACTAGCAATTGGTGATATAGATGCAAGAGGAGAACCCTTAATAAATTTTTTTCGATCTTTGTCAGATGCAATGATGAAGATCATGAGTTGGGCAATAATGTAAAATTATTCAGTATTGAATATATCGAAGAAAGGAATCATTAATACATATACATATAAACATTTATTTTACATAGGCTAGTGCCAATGAGTGCATTATTTCTTATTTGTGCAAAGATTCTCGAAATAGAAGACTTTAATGGTGTTATAAAACGACTTGGAATTTATATCTTAACTGTTTTTAGTGGTTTGCTCATACAAGGTTTATTATTACTTCCACTACTATATTTTATATGTACTCGCCAATCTCCATATAACATTATAACTAAACTTGGACCTGCTTTTGTCACAGCATTTGGTACATCATCCAGGTAATTAAAACAAATATATTTTTAGTTTATTCTCTATTAAATAAATTATAAACATTTAATAATTATACTTCAGTACAGCCACAGTTCCAGTAACAATATCATGTTTGGAACATATTGGGATACCTTCTAAAATATCTAGATTTATTGTACCAATTGGTGCCACCATAAATATGGATGGTATAGCATTATATGAAAGTGTTGGTGCAATTTTTATAATTCAATTACATGGCTTACAATTCTCTCTATTCAAAATTATAATAATCTGGTTTGTAATCTAATTGTAAAAATAATTTTTTTATTTATTATTTTATAATAATATTAGAAAATTTACAGTATAACATGTACTGTATCTTGTATTGGTGCTGCCGGCTTACCTAGTGGTGGTTATGTAATGTTAATAATGGTATTAAATTCCGTGGGAGTTCCAGTAGAAGATGTTTCATTAATTATCGCCATCGACTGGTTTGTGTAAGGATTTGTCAACACACTTATATAATTTTAAATATTCATTCCAAATAATCATTTAAAATATAATTTTCAGAGATCGCTTTAGAACCACCTTAAATATCGTGGCAGATGCATTAGGTGCTGGCATAATAGCTCATTATTACAAAAAAAATAAACAATATTTTATACCAGAAGAAATAGAATTATATACTTCCTCGTAATAAATTAATATTATAATACATTTGATATTTAATAAATAAAAAGATATTAGAATACTAGCATGTAAAAAATAATATTAAATCTTGGTGATAATATACCCATTTACAAATAAAATGTAAATTTCATGTATACATCTACATTTTTCAATAAACATTTCGAAAATGTTGTATATGTTTTACAAATTATGAAAATTATAAAAAATTTTAACATATGATACTTAATATGTGAAAGTTTTATTGAAGTGATTCAAATTCTATAAGCGACAATATAACCTTTTAAAAATTTCAACAATCTAGTAACTTTGACGCTAACGCAATTATTTATAATAGTTTACGAATATAAATATTTTACAATTATCTTTTACAATTTTTATTGTACAATAATAATTCATAATTTTCAAATATTATAGTTAATCGTCAAGAAGTATATTAAATTTAACTATTTATTCTAATGTAAACATTTTAAATGTTGTTCATTGTATTGAAATTCCACTAAAACGATGATGTTTCGAAAATCGTATATGTATCTATATACAACATACTCAATGATAATAACTAGGAAGCAAACCTAACTTATTTGACATGCTGCTGCAGCGACTCCTGTGACATTTTCTAGAAACGAAGAGTCTATCTATGTGAACATTACATGTATAGGAGAGAGATTTCAGAATGGCGACTGTCTTTACTTAGGAGAGTACTTATTCCCGCCCAGAAATTGTGTAATTAACGTGTGTCTTTGGAAAGTTCCATGTGTTTTTTGTCGCGTATTCACTGAAAATGATAATAGAGAATCCGGATCAATTCAAGGCGTGGCTCACTGCCGTCTTGGAGCCACTGTAAGTAGGCCAGCTTGTCCGAGTACAGTTTTAGGTGTATGTGTATGCATTTGATATTGTAAATGGCCGTACATGTGCTATGCTTTACACCCCATGCAGAATTATATTTACATGTATTACCCTGCCTGCTCCTAGGTGATCGTTGATAGATCATTTCGGATAGCGTTCCTACATTGTATTTATCATATCTTTAATAATAACTAACTGAATAACGATATGCCCAATTCACAATCTATTTCATGTATATTTTGCAGCGAACGCATTTCGAATAATTGAACGTAGGATACTAAATTCTGTTGCTGTCTGATCCGCAATATGAGTTTCACGTATATTTCTTTCAAATATCATGATAAAAATACACTTATAATATCTAATTCTCACATATAAACAACTTAAGAAAATGACTTATTTCATAACGATTTGTTGACAGTAATGCTTAATTAAAACGTCGTTTACCCCCTGGAAAGGAATCATCTTTTGAAATAGCAGTTTCTTTCATATGTAATTATTATTATGAACATATTAACTATTAAAGTACCTAAAACAAAGATGCTCTTGTTAGGGAAATATTTATAAAAACATTAGAGATATTTACATTATACATATATGTTGAATTATATATTTTATATTATAGAAAATAATTTTGTTATTACTTATGATAAGTTAATTAGAAACATGTAACTAATTTCATTTATTCATTTGTAATTTATTGATTTAGTAAAATTTAACCTTTTATTTTGTATTTTATAACCTGTAAACACTACATGATTGCATTACAGTATATATAAATAACAAAGTAAAAGCCTTTTAGTATATAGCTTATCATATCACTATATTTCGTAAAGATGTATTATATGAACATTTTATTAAATGTTTATTATTACTCTTTTTTTTAAATATTCATATAATTTATAATTTATATATTTATCATCTAAATATTATATATGAAAATATAACTACTTTATATTTGTTAGCTTAAAACATTAATATTAATATAATTTTACAGTTGTGATGCAGATCCTGCCGCATTAGCAAAATATGTATATGCTCTTGTTAAAAAGGACAAAACACTGGAAGAATTACGAGGTGGAATGGTAGAACAGCTTGATGTATTTTTACAACAAGGTACATTTGTATTTTTAGATACAAATACTATTGAGAAATTATTTGATATAACTTTCTCTATGATATTTCTCTTATAGAAACAAAAAATTTTGTGGAATTACTATTTAAAACATTAGAGACTCAAGAGTATGTGCTTCCACCTCCAAAAAGTGACCCAGATGGTGGTGGGACACCACCAGGTGTAAATCCACCACCACCTACAGTAGCTACAGAAAAAGTAACTGAAAGTACAATTCCAATTACTTCGATGAATACAAATCCCCCTGTCCCACTTCAAATGAATGGATCTGCACCTATGGCAATAGGTAAACGTGAAACTAGAAAATCAGACTCTGAAAAAGTCGATAAAGAAAAGGAAAAACGTTCTAGGAGTCGGTGAGTATAATTCGAGTTATTAAAAAAATTATGAAATTTTTGTAATTCGCTTTTCTACAACATAATTTGTATATATTTTAGAAGTGGTCGAATGAGATCTCGAACAAGATCACGTTCACGTTCATGGGAAAGAGATAGGCGTAGATCAAGAAGCCGAGAACATATTCGTCGCGATCGAGAACGTGATAGGAGTCGACCGTGGAGAAACGAATCACCACCAAATACGCGACGGCATGATAGGAGGTTTATACAAAGTTTATGCCAAATACTAAAACATGAATTCATAATCTTTTTTTTTCTTTTTTCTTTTTTTACGGTATTTAATCTTTTTTGTAGACGAAGCAGAAGTCGTAGCACATCGCCAATACGTCCCAGAATACGAGATGGTCCTGATAATCGCGACCATAGAGCACGATTTAGGAATAGGTCTCCGACACCACTTCGATCTAGATCTCGCTCAAGATCCTTAGATCGTAAGAAGATAGATCGCTCTGAAAGAATGGAAGTAGACAGAACAGAAAGAATTGACGGGAGTCCCGGTGGTGGTACTCCAACACAGGACAGTAATCACGGAGATGTAGACATGAGGTTGTCTACTACTAGTCAATCAATTCGAAGCGTCGTTGCCGTTGCTTCTAATGTTCCAAATAGCCAACCAGGTTTTCAAGCAAAGAGGAGGTGCAGAGATTTTGACGGTTTGTATTTCTTGAGTTATTTCATAGAAAAATATAAGAAATTTATTGAAAAAGATAATCAATACTTACAGAAAAGGGATATTGCATGAGAGGTGATCTTTGTCCCTATGATCACGGTACAGATCCAGTTGTATTAGAAGATGTAGCTCTAAGTCGTGTTCTGACCTTTGGTCCACATAGTGCTCAAGCACCAGGAACAGTACCTGTAACAGCAGTACCGGAACCGCCTCCAGGACCTAATGGAAATGCTCCACCACAGCATTTGCCTCTAGCAAGTTTACCTCCTCCACATTTAAGGAATCAACATCATTCTAATATGGGTAAGTACTCTTTGTATATAAAATTTTAATGCATAATAATAATGTAATATAATCGTTTTAATATGAATTTTAACAGATGCTTTTGCGGAATATAATCCAGATGCACCAAGTATGGAACCGCGAATGCCATGGGGTAGACATCCCCAACCCGGACCTGGAATTTATGGAAGAGGCCAACGGGAACTAATTAGTGTACCAGTAATTCCACATACAAACTCGTCTGAAATAACACATACTCAAACGAATCCCTTAAAACGTAAACAAGCATTCGATTTTAATCGTCTTGGACCAAAACAACGAGTGGTACATAATCCAGCTAATTGTTCCCTGGAATTAAAAAAAGTTCCACGTAGCTTGAACAACATAACACAATTGAATAATCATTTTTCAAAATTCGGTAAAATTGTAAATATCCAAGTTAATTTCGGTGGAGATCCTGAGGGAGCGTTAGTTACCTTCCAGCTACCTGCTGAAGCAAAGGCTGCATACAGAAGTACAGAGGCTGTGTTGAATAATAGATTTATTAAAGTTTTTTGGCATAATAATGTTAACAACAACGCAGCTGGTGGTGCCATTGAAAACGTACCACCAGGTAAGTTAATATTTTACTATTCATATCTTTTTTTTATAAGTTAATTTATTCTTAATATGTTAATTATTTTAACAAATATTCAACGTTCTATTTAATATTTTATTTTATTTAGGATGCCGTCCCTCTGTCAAAGAACGTTTAGGTGCTGCTGTCACTGCGCCAGCAAAAACTGAAGAAAATGAATATATACCCACTCGCCGTTCAACTGAAGAACAGGTCTCACAAACTGTGGTTCCAACATCACCAAAAACTACCACTGTTCCTACGCGGGAAGACAAAGTTCTCGCAATAAAAAAGACACAAGAGATATTAGCAGCTAAGGAAACGTTAAAGAAAAAACAGGAAGAGAAACGTAAAGAGGCATTAAAATTAACTGCTGATTTACGTAAACGGAAACAAGAATTATTAGATAAGCATTTAATAGAAATTCGAGCTTTAATTGACAAAGCTGAGAAAAATCCAGAGCAAAAAGATGCAATTATGACAACGATCAAGACAATGCAGCAATCTATTGATAATTTACGTAAAGATTTAGCTGCAAATGGTCAAATTAGTGGAAACAAGACACAAATCAAATCTAGAGAACAAACTCAAAAAGAGATTTTAGATGCGGAGTTAGATTTAATGACTGCGCAACAAGAAGGACAAGACGCTGGGGAATTGCAAAAGAGATTAAATGAATTACGAGCACAAGCTGCTGCGTTAGGTTTAAACGCAGGTCCAACTGTTGGTAGAGGTACAAGATCCAGTAGAGTTATACGAGGTAGTCATGCATTATCGTATAGGGGTCGTGGTAGAGGAAGTTTTACCCATGTTTCGGTAGATCATAGACCGACGAGTCTTCTAGTCTCTGGTTACGAAACCGAAGAAAAGGCTGAAGTTTTAGCACATTTTCAAGTAAGGTTTAATATTTTTCCAAGTGCATTCATGTTTCTACTTTTATTTATTCACGCAAATTAATATTTAAATTCTACGCGTTTCAGCAATTTGGAGAAATAGTGAATCAAATAGTAGATGACGCAACGCCTTCAATTGTAATCAATTTTAAATCAAGAAAAGAAGCTGAGATAGCTTTAGTAAAAGGACGCACATTTCAAGATAGATTGTTGTCTATAACATGGGTCTCTGGACACCATCTACACCGTGGCGGTGGTGGTAGTAATACAAACGCATCTGTACAACTTTCTTCACGTTCCGAACAAGCACTACCTACCACCGATGAAGATATTGACATAGAAGTGAGTCCCTAACATTTCAAATTGCGATGTAATTTCTAAATGTTCCGATTTAAATGCGTAATCGTCTGTATTTTATCTTACTTTTATTAAGAACTTTTATTCTTTTTCTGATATGTAAATAAATAATAAATATACAAAATATTTTGTTCGTTTTTTGTATGATGCAAACCTTATTTTTGTAACAGGGTAACGCCGAAGCACTACTTCTCGAAGAAAATGAAGAAGAAGAAGATGAAGACGGTGAATCGCGAAGCTGGCGACGATAGCAGCGTCAGCGGCATTCGTGACAAAAATTTGGTACCAGCTACAATGACTGTGTGATGATCTGGGCGAATCAATATATGCTCAGCACTTGCGCCATTGCTGCACTGTCGTTCGATGCATCAAATGCCATGATTTTCACGAAAAAATCAGGTTATGAGCTCATACACGTTATCATGAGTGTTACACTATTTGTTAATATTATTAAATATATACGCATGCGTATTATAACGGTATTATAAAGAAATATACCGTGTCAAGTTGCGCATCGTGAAATAGAAAACAGATATACAAGTTTCCAACAAGAACAAAAAAAAAAACTAACCAAATTTATCCCATTATTTGTAGAATAAAATCGCTATGTTTTGTATGGGAAACATCTTATTCTGAATTCAAAGTCCTTTTTCTTTCGTGTGTAGAATTGTGAATTGTCTCTTGTTATTTCTTTCGAGATATATCTATAATAAACAAGTAGCCAGATTTTTAGATATAGGTAGATACTTATAATTTTCAGAAATTTTACAATCGAAAGTGAGGAAGCTATATTTATAATTTGTAAGATACAAATACAATTTATTATATAATTACCACGTAAGATATAGCGTATAACGCTTCGAAGTAGTGTAATTGGTTTTCCTTTTTTACTTTCACTTAATGTACTATTTAAAATTGTTCCTGTAATGATGTACAGTGTAATGTATAATTGTCATGATTTCCTTTTATCAAATGTCAATGAAACTAAGTTGATTAGAATTGAAAAAAACTTATTCATGCATAATTTTACACTAGTTGTTTCAATATATACTGAAAAAAATAATATATAATTGTTACATACAAATTCTTAAGATTAGTTCTCAAGGTAAGTATTAAATTCCGCAATAAATAAATCTCATAAACACCTTGCGTGAAATTTAGAAAGAAAAAATCACAGACTATGTTTCAAAGCCTTTGGCATTTCGTTATACATATGAATAAACTTATTTGATACATTTTGAAAACAATTTTGAGTACAATCCTACCCAATATTTGATATTTTTTAATTAAATTATGTATATAATTTTCATATAATTTTTTATGTATTAAATTTAAATTTGTTAATCTATTTCAAATTTTGTTTATTCCTTAATCGCAAATTTGAACATTAATTTAATAATGTGTATCGAAATACCTCATACTATCTTAAAACTGTTGTAACAAATGACTAAAAATAGCATTTTGATTATTCTTTCACAATTATATAAATGAGTCAAAAAATAAAAAAACAGAAATGAAAATTATTTTTACTGGGAACTTATTTTATATCAACTAAGCAGTACATATAAAATATATACAATATAAAAAAAATTTGCAAAACAATTTGAAAAATAGATAGTGTATGCATGCAATTTTAAACAAAAGCGGAATACAAAAAAAATATTTAAACTAATTACGTAACATATTTTATATTATGGAGATAACCAACCAGCTAATAAACTACCTAACAATAATTGTGCAACTGGTAGTATAGATAATGGTAAATTTACTGCTGGACCATGAGCTGAACCATGGTAAGCACCACGTAAAACCCAGCTGCCAAGACCAACCGATTTGTGAGTACTCGTAAAAAGTGCGGCTAACAAGATATTCCGAGGTAACCACCGAGAGCACAAAATCCAACACAAGCAGCTAACAAATAGTTGTCCCACGCAAGCTTGAACATAAAAATATACTAATACCATAGTGAAGTAGTAAAAGACATGCCATATCCTGTACTTACATCAAATTAATAATAATTTGACACATGTAAATAGTATATATACATGCACCAATGAAGGTTATACAACAATTGCGATTATTTATCTAGTTACATAATAGATATATATTTCGACATAAATGATGATAGACTTACCAATCAATACACATAATAATACATCAGTAGCTTGTAAAGAAGATGCATCCACTAATACAGCATCACAAAACCAATGATATGCTGTAGCTAATAGTAATCCTTGAGAAAACCAAGGTGATTTAATTTTGGGACAAATATCATATTTTAAAATGAGGGTTTGAATCATAACTCCAATGACTAATGGTAAAATTGTACTATAAATTGTTTCTATTATGTTTACACCAACCAAAGGCGGTGTAGATGCTCCTAACTGAAAGAATTATAATTTATATGTTATGAAGAAAATAATAATTTAAGTTCCAATAATGTATAAATACCACAAAGTATAATAATATTGGAGATATAAATAGTCCACCAAAATGAGATACCAAAGTTATTACAATACTCGTTGATAAATCTGCTTGTGCCAATCGACATAAAACAAAACTTGTATTAAATGGAGGTGGCATACAGTAAAGTACCTAAAAGTTAGAAAATTAAAATGAATTATCATTAGTATCTATTGTAGAATTTTTTAAAATATTTCAATTTTTATTTACTTCCATTCCTTTCAGTAACCACACATTGACATTAGCATAAGTCAATAAACATACTCCAAGTCTCATCAGGAAGGGCATTAAAATGTATATGAATGTCATTGTAAATATTAAGAGAGAGCCATTGCTTAATGTTAAATAAAGGGTTTTTGGATCACATAATAAGCCTGCTTCTAAATATGTTAAAGGAACAGCAAAATATCGTATAATAACATTTCCATTTAAAATACCTATAATAAACAACATAAAAATAGTAAAACATAAATATATAATTATACTACTAATTATTTAAAAATTAATACCATTTGTTTTACCAAAATGTGGTTTAATAGAGGCAAGCATCATACATAAAAGCATTGATAAAAAATATCCATATCTATGTAAAAGTTCATTCTGTTTCTTCTTTGGTTGAACATCCTGTATATGACTTTTTTGCATTTTCATTTAATATATGTGCCTGTAATAATCAATATATATTAACGTGTGTTTATTCTGTAAAATTAATCTGTGTTGTAATAATAAAAGCAAATGATATGTGATTTATACAATGAAAAAGTGTCAATAAGAATAAAGAGGATTCAAACCATTTTTGTAAAAAAACAGAGTACATCAGTCTACGAGCAAAATCAGCCAGTGTAGCAGTTTTTCTGAGTCTTCTTTGAGAAAATTTCATGCACTGTCTCCTTTAAAAAATTTTGTGCGTGCACATTTGGACAAAATACTATATGTACTATGATCCTATTTAAACATGCTTGAAATGTTATAATTAAATAAAGCAAGCATATCTTATTGTCTATAATACTGTATATATTAAATATAATATCCAAATTCATTCATTTAAAAATTATTCTATACTATATTTTACCATTGCAGTCTCTGTAAAGTTTGTGAAGTATAAATTAAAGGATAAATGCACCTAAATTAAAGCAATACTTATAAAATTTATAATATAAAATATTATGCTGTTCTTTTAATAATTTCGTATTATGCATAAAATTTGTATCGTTCATTTTTCAATATTTGTTATGATTTCGATGCTATATAAAATAATGCTGCCTTGTGCTAATTAAATTTGATTTGCATCAAAATATAATTGTATACGTATTTACACGTTGTCTCGTTGACAGGTGTTTAAACACAAAAATCGCAGACGAAAGAATGAAACATTATTACGTGACCATAACAAATAAATTCAAACTCTAAACTCATTACGATCTGTTAACAGTTCTTCGAAGTACTTCAAGAACATTAATAACAAGGAATTTTATGTAATATTCAATTACTCTAAATATTTATTATCTTTAATGGTCAACTGTTTGGATAAGAAGTATGCGAAGTTCCTTACTGCATTGTATCAAAATATCAATATATATAGAATCAAAATGTATTGAGAAACTACTTTTCACTTTTTTACGCATGCGTACTTAAAATAAACATTTTTAGTTGCATTATTCTTTATTATATAATAATATAATTTTATTGGAATAAATTTTGGTTAAAAGATTACAAACCCAAATAAAATTTATATTGCTTGAAATATTATTAAATTTTGGTTAACAAAGCGAGATAAATTAATATAGAATAGAAAATTCTAGTCAATTTGTAATTCAAATTTTTACAAATATTCAAAAATAAGTGTATAACTCTTCAATTTTGATAATAAGATAAAAAATATAAGAAGCCAATACTATATTTTAAGTTTTTATATTTATTTTTAAATATTTTCAAAATTATCTCATATATAAAATAAACATAAAATTTATATTTTACTTTGATTTTCTGAAATTTTATTTAGTTTATAATAATAATAATAAGATTAATGAAACAACAGTTCACAGTGTATGTAAATGTGGCATATTACCACAATACCTTACTGCCATAAGTCGGGGTCCACCCTTCCTGGCACACAGTTTGAAGCTTAAATAGCTCCTTTATCAATTATTCACATTTTTTCTTACAAAACTTCGTAACTTTTATACATAGCGCGGCCTATGACTACATACAATAACATTGGTTCATAAATGAGCTTGCACACTCAGGAAAATATTTGATCGCATTACCTTTTGACACTGATAATGTAACAGAAAATTTTCGATAGACCCTATTTGTAAGAACCGAATTTATACCGCAAATAAAAGACACAAGTAGTTTGTAACGTAAACTACAACAAAATACTTCATGATATTAAAAACTGCAGTCCAGATCGTTTTATAAACAGTAATGCAAAGCATTACTACACATGCTAGATTTTCCTTTTTTTAAATATAAATATTGAAATGCTTCAGTAACATAGATATAAAAAAGATCACATATTAGCATGCTCAGCGACACGAGAATATTAAATCAAGGTACAAAGGCTTTGATTTGTTTATTAGCTAAAAGCCAAATGATTGTACATAAGACATCTAGTCGATGCTACTTTATGGAACAAGAATATTCATTAAATGTATTTGTATGATACAGGGCTTTGACTTCATTAAACTGCGATAAACCATTAGTTTTTGTCATTCTTGATCAAGAAACATAGTGTATTATAAAATAAAAAAAAAATAAAAAAGTTTATTAACCAATCTGTCCAACATAGCAAAATTTATAGTATCTTTAAATGTGATACACATTTCATAATGAAACGAATACATTTTTTTGTGAATTTTTATATTAGTAAATAGAATAAGAAATATCTAATCAGTATTATATCATATAACACTAATTGGCAATACCACCTATGATAGAAACGCGGATTATTATACATCAGTATTTATCCAATATATATATATTAAAAACACAAGGGAAACTTGTATAATACGAATTTCAGAGCATGCCAAAGACAATATGACTATAAAAAAATATTATAAAAATAATTTAAACTTAAAACATTTTACGTTCAAAGATTCACTCTTTAATCGTTTGTGATTTTAAGAGCTATTCCCTCATATAAAGAATACACGGAGTGAAATAGTAAGTTTTAGGGCTAGGAATTATGCTTAGATGAAGTTTTATGTCAGCTATTTTGATTAAAAAATTATCTCATTATGTTATCAAGAACACAAAACGTATACAGGTAACGTATAATATCGATTTATTCATTATTAATTTAAAGAGCATATATACCCCTAAAAGATAGCGAGTCGTGAAGAAATATAAAAATTATTCAATATAATATATTTAGAGTAACAGTCTTTTGTCTGAGTATGAAGAGTACAGCAAAGAGAAAGAGTTGTCTGAATAGTTGTACAAGAATTTGATAATAATAAACGATGGATAATACAGATATTAGTTAATAATTAAACACTAAACAATACACAATACCGAACTATTACTATATGTAAATATCTATGTATAAAAATACAATGTATTTGCAATAAACAATTTGTCACAATTTACTGTTAGCATTTTGAATTATTTACTGCAGTGATTCTTGAATAAAAATAGGGAAAATCAATCTATTATACAGTCAAATATCAAAACATTAATTACTAACTGATATTAAAAATATTTTCATTCTATTTCTGTTAATATTACTTTTTCTTTTATAATACTGTTTGAATAGACTATAAATGGAAAAAATAGTAATGTCATAAAATAAATGCAGATTGTAATCAAATGTATAAAGTAGATAAGTAAAAGCTTGTAATAAGAACATTAAAGGCATATAAGAACATATTCAACAAAATTATTCTTATTTTTTTGTAAAGAAATAGATTTTGTTATATTTCATATATTTTGTAGGATAAATAAACTAATAATGAATGATAGTAATAATTATTAAATTTTTCAAACCTTATGTACCTATTTTTTATCTTATATAAAAAAAGATCAAACGTAATATACATAAGTAAATAATATTAAATTACTGTATTATCCACCAAAACATTTAAACAACAATAAAATGAAAAATATGAATAATTAAGAAGTTACCTGTTCATAATTCTCATATGCAATTCATAACTTATTTTATTAATATAATACCTTCATCGCTGCAAGAGTATACCCGTGGCTATCGTACAATTTCACTCCGTGTACTATCATATTCTCTTATTACCAAATATTGATCATAGTTTTACTTATAAACTAGAACTAATTCATATCACAATGTCAAGGCACTTAAAAAAAATATGTTTTTCCTTAAGCACCTTTACCCCTCTCCTTTAATCTGACACAAATATAACACAGAACATTCAAAAGTTTGTAGTGCTATTGCTTCTGTTGACTTTTTTACCCACTACTCGAGACGACGTTCTAGTTGGTGTAGGTCTTAACTTATAACCCCCTGCATTCATTGTATTATTAATAGCCGCTACATTTGGAGCAATAGTTTTTAGACATTTAGCTGCTTCCTGCAGTTGTTTCGATAGTATTTCATTTTTTAATTTTTCCGCATTCAGTTCCCGCCGAAGTTGTGCTTTTGTTTTATTTCCAAATGGACATAATACTCTATGTTGTATGAGACATATTGCTGATGGTCTCATTTCAGGATTTGGATGAATCATTAACTGCAAAAAGAAAGAAATTTATTAAATTGTCCTGTAAAATAAAAACATAAGTAGCAGAACAAATTTACAGATGAGCTTACTTTAAGTAATTCGTTTAGATCACGACTGTAATGTGGTAATTCCTTTAAATTTCCATTTCTGATGTCATGCCATTCAGGTCCATTTTTAGGTAATGGACCTCCACCACCTGCTTCATAAACAGTTAATCCCAAAGCAAAAATATCAGCTTTTGGTAAATGACTGAAGTCTTCACGTAAAATCTCTGTTGGCAGATATCTACAATCCCCTTCTTCAACTTGAGGGTTATTAACAGATGTAACATGACCCAAATCTCCTATTTTATAAGTAATTTCCTCTTCTACAGTTTCCTCTTCATCAAAACCATCGTCGGCTGAATCATAATTAACTGCGAGTAACCTTTTTTCTTTAGAAATAAAAATATTTCCAGGTTTAATATCCATATGCACTAACTGCATGCTATGAATATATCTTAAACCTTCAGCAACATGTAATAACAATTGTCGCATTTCTGCTTCAGTAAAGTGCTTTTTTTCTTTTTCTAAGTTCACAATCGCGTCTGCCAGACTACCACCATTACAATATTCGTTTTGAATTATCATGTGATTATCTTCTGCCCATGCAGAATAATATCTTACAACGTGTTGATGTTTACCAAGTACAGCATGTGCATATACTTCATTTAAGGCATTCTTTTCATTAATACTTCCAGCCACAGGTTTAATACTTTTTTTAATAGCATAAGTGCATCCATCTAACCGATTAATACACTTATAAACTGAACCAAATTCGCCTGTTCCAATTAAACCAAGTTCATGGAACTCTTGATGGTATCGTGGAATATTAGAGTCTTGTAGTGCTACACGTTTTGTAGCTTGTTCTATTTCATTGTCGGAATCTTCAGAATCGGCGAGATCGAATTTCGGAATTTGAATGTCTGGAGAACTAATATTAAATGAAAACAAAAGAATCGTTATTTTAAATGAACATTACCATAAAATTTCTTATATTAGATTTTGCTTTAATGCTCACCCATTTAGACTACGTTTAGATCTAGTACGCTTCCTTGCTGTTAGTAACATTCCATTTGGTGTAAAAGGATTTACATTTGCAGCAGGTTTGTCAGACTTGTTTTGGTAATTACAAGGTCTAGGTTTGTCTAATGAAAATAGTCTAGTACATTTAGTAGGAAATGGAGTATGTATCGCACTTTTTTCCATTAGAGTTTTTGGAGTAGCAGGAGAATCAAAAAGACGTAAAGCTCTAACGCGTTTGTAAGGTGGACTGCATGCCATTGATATTTTTTGAGAACATATATTTTCACGAGGAGGAATCCTAATTCTTGATGTACCTGCAATTCATATTTTTGGATGCATATATTATATTTTATAGAATACAATTTTCTTGTGTACTCAAATCATATAATCAAAGAGATATATATGCAATGTGTTTAATATTTTATAAGTAACATATTTTTTAATGTTACTTATATTTTGTTTTTAATATTTTTTTGTGTATATTTATTATATTTATATTATTACGTTATTTATTTATTTATATTTTATAGTACTATAGTATTATAAATTTTAATAAAAGAATGAGTTCATTAAATAAAATAAACAACATTTATCTATATATTTTCACTCATTTCCTTATAAAAAAATATTTGTATGCTATCTACAAATACACAAGTTTAATGTTAATTAACAATAATAAGAACAACATTAACATGTTTTAATTAGCATAAAAAAACAGTTTATAAAAGTATAAAAATGTACTATTCTAAAAAATATTCTATATAAATTTCATTTCAAATCAAAGTATATGAAATTATATACATGTATAGTATATATATTTTAATTATCCCTTCATAAAATACAAATTTAAAAAACCTCAGGTAATAGCAGTACACAGTGTAATTGTGTTTACTGATTACTTCTTAATCCTTTTCTTCTTTTCTTTTTTTTTAAATTATAGACATAGATGCATGATGCAAAACAATTGTCCAACAAAAATATCAATTTTCCCACACCATGCACAACAAAATCATTTAAAACAATAATATAACTTTCCAATATATGTAGAAAAAAATATGTATAAAATGCGTAACTATAAAGTACAACAAAAAAATAAAATAATAAATACACATGGTGATATTGATAAAGAAAAAAGAATTGAAGCTTTTAATACAATCATTTTTAGTTACAATACATTCATAAAAATTATAGTAATAATTTAAAAAAAGCAAAAAAGATTACATTAGAAAATAAAAATTTTAAAAACATAACATGCAATACAAAATGTCTAAGAGTTATAGTAAGATGTTTCAAAACAAAGATATAATTTTTTATATAAAATTATTTGCAAACAAAACATATGGAAACAAAGAATACCTTTAAATATATGGCAGTCAGGATACTGTACAAAAATAGTTCATAAAAAGATGAAAAATTGAAAATCATACTAACCTGTCACGTTACTGATAGGGGTCTTATTGTTATTAATTGGCACAGATTGGTTACTTTCACTGTCACTACAATCCATTGTATTACTAAATGACAGTTTTCTTGGCTGAAGTGGGGGTGAACATCCAAGATCCTCTGCTGAAGAATCTAAAATATCGTCAACATCACAACCAGAGCTGTTCGTCCGACAGCTGATGTTCAGCTCCTCGTCCTGAATGTCGCATGCGTCGAAATGCAACTTTTGTGCGACTTCCATGTCTTTAAACTGTCACCATAAGTTTCCTTGCATGCAACTATCTTGTGTACACTGGCAAAACTAAATTGAAATAGGTACTAATTACTAAATCTTATCAATTACGTTTGAAGACCTTCATTCAAACAATCGCTCGTACCACGCTACGTTCGTTATGGCGGGTGGCCCGATGTTCCTTGGGAAATTAAAGGCGACCAATCAGAAGCTTCTTTGAGAACGAGAAGCTATTGAATTTGATATAACGCGTTCTCCTATTGGTTGTGATTACTCACAATGGTAGTACATAGTAGCGTCATCTGCACACATTTTCGAGGGTGAAACCATTCTCGGTAAAATTCTAAAAACTTTATGTCGCACTTTATTCTTTGAAAGTTCCACACGAATTCGAAGGACGCTTAAAATAGGCGATGATCTTCCATCGAATAATGGACGAAAACAACTTTCGCCTCTACGCTGATGATCTCATTGACCATTTAAAAATCTTATGCTTCTGTAACAAATAAAACCACATGTTAATGTTATTAACAAATTAAATTATTAACATATGACTAAAATACATAAATTAATAAATCGGAAAAATATAAATATATAAAGTAAAATTAACTATGAATTTTAGAATTACGAATTTTTACGATGAAAATATCGTGCAAAATTTAATTGAATTTAGTTACATAGAATTAATTTAAACAAACGTAATCGCAATGCTTATTAATTTTGAAAATATAAGATACTTTTATAACATTTTACTTCTTTCATAATCGTTAAGAAATCCAGACAAAGTGATGTATAATCTGATTTCTAGTAGGAGAAGAAAGTGAAATGCTCAATTTGAAAGCAAAATTCAGTAAGAAATAACATGCAGTAAACGTATTATGAAGCAGGATGAACAAGAAAGATATTTTTGTATCTGTTAAGTGAAAACATCCAAAACTCACGTAAGAAAGGGAAAATCTTTTGCGTCTTTTACCTTATTCAGACAAAGAGCCCCTTTCGTGAAAGAAGTTTTACGGAGGCAGTGAAAGAATTTTTATCGAGCAGCTGCAACCTGTAGCGTTTGTATGCGCGAACACTGGCTTGTGTTGGTGTAGCGGTATCGGTGGTAGGGGTAACATAGTAGTTCGATGTGCGATATGATGGGAATTTTACTGCCTACGACGGGTTTTTTCTAAAACGAGGCTGCAGACGCCACGCGGTGGGGATGCGAGGCTCCACGTAAAAAGTAAAACAGAGAGAGAGTCGTTTCTTTGTCACGCGTAACCATTCTTGAAAGGTCTGAGCATTAAAAAAAGAGAATGGCAGACGTACAAATTGAGGTCGCGGGTGGTATGCAAATACCGCAACAAAAACAAAAATCGAGCACTGGGTAATCTTTAAGTACATAATAGATAGACACAATGATCCAAAATAGAATGATAAATATTTTTTTATTTAACCTACAGAGATATGATGATAACGACATTGACAGCTTGTTGATAGTTATTGGTTAATTTAAGTTACCATATTTTGAATGATAATTTTCTTGTAACTAGACTTTTCAAAACTTATTACACAAATTTTGGTTTATTATTAATATTAAGAAAATAATAGAATGTTACTAAATCATATATTTTGTTATTTAGGCTGGAATTCCTACAGATACCACAATTTGCACTCAGTAATATAGGATATTCACAAGCTCACGAATGGATTGAACATAGAAAAGCAAATATCAGGCCATGGTCTTTATTCCTTAATACGAGTAATATAAGACCTCCACCTAGTTTACTAAGATTGAGTAAAAGAATTGTGAGAAATATTGAGTATTTCCAGAGCAATTATTTATTTGTGTTTATTGGATTAGTTATATATTGCTTGTAAGATTTACTACATTGAGTTTATTTTTATACTTCAATATAATAATTTTTTATTTTAAAATAAATGTCTAACATTTAGGATTACATCGCCATTATTACTACTTGCTGTTGCTGTATCTCTTGGAACTTGTTATAAAGTTTCACAACGTCATACTAAACAGGCACTTACAATATTGAATCATAAATTAACATTAGCTCAAGTTTTTTCTTTGGTAGGAGTTTGTTCACTGCCAATCTTTTATTTGGTTGGTGCTGGTGCAGCTCTCTTCTGGGTTCTTGGTAAATAAAACAAATATTTTCATCTAAATATAATACAAGATTATTTTTATTTAAATTTTATTTCAGGTGTATCTTGGTTTGTAATAACATTACATGCAGCATTCTATAATATTGACTCTGTATTATGTCCAGGAGAAGATGAACTTAATTCTTTAGTTATGCAAGAAGTATAATGTATATTATAACAGATGTGTATAATGAAATCAAACTTTACATAATGTGTAAAGTAAAAATAATATTAAATAATATACATATATATCAAATGAAGAATCTTTACACATTATTTACTTTTGTTATTAAAAGTACCAAAGAATAATTTTGTACTATTAATATCTTACAAAAATTTATTTGTATTTGTAATCTGAAATGAAATAAAATATTGAATTATTTATCTTGTATTTTTATAAAATTTTGTAATAGAAAAAAGATATTCTTTCAACAAAACCTTTTTGTCAATAATTTAACAATATTTAAAATTTTGTATTTTATAAAATTTACAAATATCACTGTTAATATCGTTTAATATCAGGAAATTTATATTTCATTGGAATTTGCTATAAAAGAGACTTTTTTGATTAATTTATTATAGAATTTATATGAATTAAATTAACAATCAGTTAACATGGTGTCAATTTATATAGACCACGTGATCATGTTTAACACTGTGCTTCGCTTATATGTAATATGATTCATGAGAATTATTACGAGTTTAACATTACATACATTTCATAGTATTTCATTGCAATAATAAAATTAATGCACTAAAGTGCATTATGTTTGTAAAAATATACATTAATTAATAAAAAAGGATTATAGTATGTAACAAATATGTAGTTGTGAAGCAGGGGTTAAAAGTACATACACGATGGAATTACATGTCGACAATTTCCTTTTACATATCTGAACAGCATCCGGAATTAAAGATTTCAGATGGAAACACGGAAATTTTGTAAGATATTGCATATTTTAATTACTGCTTTTTATATAGAAAGTTTAATATATATTTAGTCTAGTTTTACACCAAATTAACAACACAATATTATTTTGCTGTGTCATTTTATATCGCGTTGAAATTTATTTATCATTTGATCATTAGAGTATAATATAAATGTAGATTGAATAAATCTTAATATAGTCCGTGCCCACTTTAATTGCTTGTTTAATAATGTTATTTTATTTTATTATAATATAGAGTTATATAAAATGCATTTATAATGTATGTTTTTTAGAATACTTTTATGAATATATATATTTTTTTTTATTTGGCTTGCATGTAGTATATGTTGTTTGATTCAAATAAGTAGGATTTAAATACTTACCAATTCAATTAAAAATGAAAGAGGATGACGACGAAGTTTCTGTACCATGGATACAAGATTATAAAAATAATATATCTGAAGCAGATCTTTATCGATCAATACAAAGTAATTTAAATGCAGAATCTGTGCAAACTTTATATCAAAGTGTATATAATACCTCATTGAATGATAGTGAAAGCATGAGCACCTTAAATAATATACTCAGTGCAATATCTATGGAAGATTTATCAGCTCCTAATAATGATACCAATGAAACAGCCATTGAAGGTAGTTGTACAGATTTAAGAAACAGCGAAAGAAGTTCAAGATCGGTAAAGCTAAATTTATAATTGTATAAATATTTCAAGGATAATATAACTACAAATGAAATTATTAATTATAAAATATTAATTGTTCTTTTTTGTAGGTTTCAAAAGGAGGTACAGTATTTAGTTTATACTTTCATGATGAAATTCGTACAATTGATTTTGTACTTGTCTGGGATGAATACAATGTAGAAGCGCAAAAATATCACTGTACTGAATATAGACGTGTAAGTATATGTATAAAGATGTAATTTATGTATCTAACATAAATCTCTTTTTAATTTTTAGGTGTTTGAAAAAAATTTGGAGAAAGAAGGTTTACAATTGGAATATGAACAAGCAGAACCAAATGGTCTACATTTTATCAAAATTCATGCACCTCGTGAAGTATTAAGACGGTATGCTGAAATATTAAAACTTAGATTGCCAATGAAAGAGTTATCTGGCATGATAATTCCTGAAAATCGTAGTAATACATTAATAAAAGAAGTCAATTCATTATTTAAGAAAATTATGAAAAAATATTATGTCGATGAAACAATATTTCCGACTCTAAAACATAATTTTACGGCTGTTTATAGTCGTGATAAAGAATATTTATTTGGTTTGGATTCGCCAAATTTTTTTACTGCTGCAACACGTGCTAGAATTGTACAGTTTATTTTAGATAGAACCAGATTTACTGAAACCAAGGATGATGATTTTGCATTTGGAATAGATAGGTTGATTTCAGAAAAAGCATATGTGGCTGCATACCCTCTTCATGATGTAAGTTACATCTCTTACTTCTTTTTTTCTATTGTATATTTTTAATTTTATGTCTATTATATTTATTACTATTTATGTCTAAGTTAAATATACATAAATATACTCATATTTACTTCAGAAAAATTATTAAAGTTGTTACGAAGTAGGTATATTTATGTACCGTAATATCGATAAACCTTATTGTTTCTCATTCACCTATTTTATACCTCTGCTCGCACCTCCTAAACAATCGATTATCCATTGAAAATTTTTGGAGGAGGAACCTTAATAACTGAAGGACTAGCCTCTTATCTTCAAATGTAACCACCCTGCTTGACTTTATATTAGGGACAAAGCGGTTTATAGGATTTTCGTGTCTTGCCCTAATCCGCTTTCATGTCTTTACTCAGAAGCAGTACAGTTATCAAGCAGGGTACTCAGGTATGAATGTTCAATATGGCCACCTGGTTTTTTTTATTGTCCTTTTGTTGATCCTTTCTTGGTGTAGATATATAAAATAATAAAACTGTAGTTGGATATTGAATCTTTTTTTAAATTACACTAATCTGACTTTAAAAATAGATATAACAAAATTTTGAACAATTGTGTCATCCATAATATTTGTTTATTCTATTGTTATCTATTATAAAATTTGTTATTAGATAATGAATTTTGTGACAGTGAAATTTCATATAATTTCATACTTTAAATACTTCGTGTATATTTAGTTTATAAATTACATAACGATGTAATAAAAACTAAACTATTTTTATGTTTTTTTGAGTGTTATTAAAAATTGTAGAATATACCGTTGGATAAAAACAATTAATTTTAATATTTAATTATATTTTACATATAATTTCGTTTTTTTAAATAATTTAGATGATTTGTATACTATAATAAGCTCGCGCCTTCGGGGGCTGGACACTGTATTATACCTGTACCCTCTTAATACTTGTCTTGCTCTTTATACCTGTAGGATTAATAAATATACCGTTAACACGCCTTCGTATTAATCGTTCACTAAGAAGATTGAATTTATTTTGATTATAAAGCAGGAATTTAAATATATTGTTAACTAAATGATACCTAATATCTTTTATCATGCTTTTATTTTAAATAAAAGCATTTTTTGCTAAAAAGTTTCCCTAATTGAATACATTTAGATATATAAATTTATCTAATATACAATATTTTTATTGATGATATTTATATAAAATGCAATATTTTTTAATTTTAGGGTGATTTACAAGCACCTGATTCTATGAGATATCTTTTATATAAAGAATGGGCATGTCTGAGAAAATGTCTTCATTATCAACCATTAGATTACATCAAAGAATATTTTGGAGTAAAAATTGGACTTTATTTTGCTTGGCTTGGTTTTTATACTCATATGTTGATACCCGCTAGTATCGTAGGACTTTTATGCTTCATATATAGTTGCGCGACTTTATATTCTAACGAACCAAGTGAAGATATTTGCAATGGTAATGATACCATCGAAATGTGTCCCTTATGTGATCATTTTTGTGGATATTGGAATTTGAAAGAAACATGTTTACACGCAAGAATTACGTATTTATTTGATAATCCATCTACCGTGTTTTTCTCTATATTTATGTCATTATGGGGTATGTGACAATATTTTCAATAGTTATATAATATGTTTTATAGTTATGGAATATGAATTTCATTATCATTTTTTATTAGCTACTTTGTTTTTGGAATTGTGGAAACGATATTCGGCAGAAATAACTCACAGATGGGATTTAACTGGCCTAGATGCTCAAGAGGAACACCCTCGCCCTCAGTACTTAGCACGTTTAGCACATATAAAAAAAAAGTCGCTCAATATTATTACAAATACGGAGGAACCGAAAGTTCCCTTTTGGAAGATGAAAGTTCCTGCTACAATTTTTAGTTTTTCCATCGTTTTGTTGCTGGTTTGTAAACACTTGAAATACAAAAAAGAACGAATTTAATAATTATAATTCTTTTTTGAAAAATTTATTTTTCATTTATTTCATTTCATTTACATCACAGATTGCAGTAGCAATGGCAGCTGTGTTAGGTGTTGTTCTATACAGAATGTCTGTTTTAACTGCCTTAAGTGTTTATGGACATCCTATGGTAACAAGTTATGCAATACTATTTACAACAGCTACTGCAGCTAGCATTAATTTGTGTTGTATTATAATATTTAACTGGGTCTATGTTTGGCTAGCTGAATATTTAACAGAGGTACTTAGCTATAATAACAACATATCTGTTGTTCTTTTTATGGTATATATTTTTATTTTTACAGATTGAACTGCTTCGAACCCAAACTGAATTTGATGATAGTTTAACATTAAAAATTTATCTACTCGAATTTGTTAACTACTATGCTTCCATATTTTATATAGCATTTTTTAAAGGAAAATTCGTTGGCTACCCGGGTAATTATAATCGTTTCTTTAAATACCGACAAGAAGAATGTGGGCCTGGTGGTTGTCTTATGGAATTATGCATACAATTAAGCATTATCATGATTGGCAAACAGACTATGAATACAATATTAGAAATGTTGTTTCCATTATTTTACAAATGGTTAAATACTTTAAAAGTACATGTTGGAATGAAAACAAAAAATGGACAAAAGAAAGTTACTACTAGAAAATACCTTCAATGGATCAAGGATTATAAATTAGTAGAATGGGGTCCAAGAAGTTTATTTCCTGAGTATTTAGAAATGGGTAATGGTATTAAATTTATGTAAACTTATTATATGTATTTGTACTTAATTTAAATTTCAATATTTTATTTGTTACAGTACTACAATATGGATTTGTTACTATCTTTGTTGCTGCATTTCCACTAGCTCCATTTTTTGCATTATTAAATAACGTTTTTGAAATGCGATTAGATGCAAAAAAATTGTTAACGATGTATAGAAGACCAGTTGGACAACGTGTTATAGATATAGGTATATGGTATCGTATTCTTGGTTCCATTTCTAAGTTGTCTGTCATAACTAATGTGAGTTTATATGTTCATAAATAATATTTTGTATAAATCATATAGTTTTTGATATATTAATATAATTAAAATTTTTTAGGCATTCATCATAGCTTTTACTTCAAACTTTATACCAAGATTAGTTTATCGAATAACTGTCTCTGATAATTATTCCCTTGAAGGATTTTTAGAACATTCTCTTTCGAAGTTTAATACAAGTGACTTACAAAATGGTACTGAACCATTTTCGCTACCTACCCATGAACAGGTTGAAATATGTAAATATCCAGACTATAGGGAACCACCAAATTCGCCAAACAAATATCAATATACAATTATGTTTTGGCACGTACTTGCAGCGAGACTAGCGTTTATTGTTGTATTTGAGGTATTTCTACATCAAGAATGTAATATTAAATTAAAAATTCAAATTTTATAATTAACAAAAATAATATTTTCCAGAATATTGTTGCCTTTGTAATGATACTTGTACGATGGTGTATTCCCGATATGAATCCAAAGTTAAGAGATAAAATACGACGTGAGGCATATATAACTAATGAAATAATTATTCATCAAGAAGCGCTTCGTGCTTGTGGGAGGTCGGCTGATGTAGACACAAATCAGCATTTCATTACATTAAATGATAACGTAAATCGGTGGTCTAGAGTCATGAGAAATAGTTTATCTAATTCTGAATTTGATTTAGAAATTCATGGGAGTCCTGTGTCACCAGCTAATCCACATACACGGGTTGGTCCCGCCGCACTATGATCACTTTTTAGATCAAATAAATAACAATAGAAAGATATAACTGTGATACTAGTCACGCTTCTGTATATTGGTTTTATTAATATAATTTTCAAACAAACATGTGATCAAAAAGATCTGATAAAGATATTAACAGCAAAAGAAAATAATAGAAACAATATTTATATATATCAAAGTACTCATATATTTTTATGATTAACTATTTAAAATGCAGGAAATATTCTCATTGAAATAATCTTTAATCTTTTATATCTGTATTGTAGAATAAATGTGTTTTTGAGTTGTTGTTTAAAATTGGAAAGAGGTTCATAAAGTTTTAATTTATGCTTAAGTAATATTACTTTATCTTTTGTATCAAATTATCTATTTAATTAAGAAAAATACTCGTTGTAGTGCAATTTATTTATTTAACTACTCTTGTGACATCAAATTATAAATTACATTTGTAATTATAAGTAATTATCAGAATTTGATATTATAAATTTAAAAAAAAAATTTCATTTCATAATTAATAGATTTCCTCTTCTTAAAGTTCCTAAAAATAATTGTTTCAATGTATAGATTTAATTCTTTAATATAAATTTACAGTGTTACATTTATGCAGAATATACCAATATATTACTGTTAAATAGTAATGAGAGTTTTCAATATATTAATAATATATATTGTTACTAATGTCACAGTAAACTATACTTCCATTATATACGAATTAATTACAAGATTATGCAATAATTTTTATAACTTCTATAATATATCTAAAATTAAAATATATATTTGCATATATTTAGCTGCCACATTTAATGAATATAAATATTATTTTTATGAAATTGTTAATATGTATGTAATTTTTAAATTATATAATATAACTTAAATAAAAGATTATAAAATGAAAATTGTTATTGGAATAATTATAAAAACACTTTTATAAAATTAAAATTTTTAATTTTGTAAATTTAAATTTATATAATTCTATGTTAATATTATTATCATCCTCTGTTATATTGCAGAGGGCGATATCGTAAGATCGGTGTTGAGAATGCCGCATTGCTTATTCTCAATCATTCTGAATATTTAATTTAAAAAGTTTACAGTTGTTTTTTCTTAAACATTAAAAGAGGTTTAATAAAATTTAGTATAATATTTTAATGTGAGTCCTTATGTAAGCAATAAAAATTAATTTTAAAAAAATGGGAACTGTTCATGCAATGGTACGTACTTATTATTAGAAAATTACGGTATAACCTAAAATTAAAACTATTAATTTACAGTATGAGTAATCTCTAATAATAATTTATAACAGTGTAGTTTTGAATAAAATTATTGTATCAGATATTTTATTAAATTTGTGCATTGTATAAAACAGTATTTACTATATTTTATTAAATTAGTTTTAATTAAATTCTTTTCGTTAGTATTTCACGTGTTTTATTATTTCAGAATTCTAATATGTCTCGAAATGTAAATGAAACTTCAAATAATACTAATGAAACACAAAATTTAAAAAAACATAATTCTGTAAGTAATGTTTGTATACTTTGATTTAAAGTTTTTCTGATATTTTAGATAGAAATTTTCTAAATACTTTTTTTTTATCTACGAAAATATATAAAAACTTAACAATTATTGTTTTTTCCTATCATTTCCACAAGAAGATGAATTTATATCAAAAACCGCAAGAAGAACCCATTCAGGTTTTTCGTTCAGTGAAGGTATATTTGTTAACACAAATATAAAATATTAATTTTATTTATATAAATTATTAAGTCAAATCTTGCTATTTCATAAATTAGGCAAGAGTTGATAAAATACATGTTGATGGACTTATGAGGACAAAAGATGATATAATAGAAACCCAAGTGAAAGAACTGTTTAAGGCTCAAGATTTTCATGATGTTATCTTACATGCCTTTAAAGTACGAGAAAAGCTAAAAGGTTTAGGATGTTTTGGGAATATTGGAATTTACATTGATACCAGTCAAGGTCCTGATGCTACCCCAGAAGGTGTTGAAGTGGGTCTATATAATTACACACTAATTCAACAAAAAATAAGTAATTTCTCTGATTTAATTTTCAGTTCACTCATAAATCATTTCTTTAATAATTAGCATATATTCTAATAAGAAATTTTAAAGTATATGCTTTTCCAGGTTACCTTTATTGTACATGAACTGAAACGCTTAGCAGGTGGAATTAGTACTATGGTTGGAAATAATGAAGGTTCAGTTATGGTTCAAGCAAAAGCACCTAATTTATTTGGAAGAGGAGAACGTCTTCAGATGGAATATTCTCATGGTTTAAAACATTCAACTAATATGAGTATATCTGCCGTTAAACCATTTGTACACAATTGGCTTCATACAGTGTGTGTAATACTGTTCCATTTTAAAAGTTAATGTTAGAAATAAATATTCTTGAAAATGTATGATTAATATATAATTTAATTCTTTTTATAGATTAACCGGTAGCATCTTCAACACATCCAGTTGGTTTCCAAGGTCTGGTTTTAGTCAATGTGATAAAGGTCTTTTGTTAGATATTGCTCGCAATCCTGATGAAGCAGGTTTATTAAAGCACAATTTACAATATGAAGCCACATATAGGGAAATTATTCCTTCTAAACAAACGTCGCTTCACGTTCGTAAGCAATGCGGTCCAAATTTAAAATCTGCATTGCGACATATTTGTTCTATTGATAAAAGAGATTCAACAATATTTCCCACTATGGGAAGTTTTGTACAGTTTTCATCAGAAGTAGCTGGTCTTGGAGGAGATATTGGATTTGTTAAAAATGAATTTACCATGCAAACTAATTGGACACCACATGAATTTATAGCAAGTATTTTTGAATTCAAAATCAGATTAAACTTTTAAATGATTTATCTCCTGTACAATTTGTTTGATTATAGAAATTTCATTAGACCTTCCAGCTGGGTTTTCAATCTGGATGGCTTCGAGGAATCAGCAATGACTTCAAAATCAATATTGCTGATCAATTTTTCCTGGGTGGACCATTGAATCTTAGAGGATTTAATATGAGAGGTTGTGGACCTCGTATCAATGGAAATTTTATTGGTGGCGATGCATATTGGGCAGTCGCTCTTCATTTATACACACCATTGCCATTTAGGCCTGGTTGTAATGGTTTTGGTGATCTTTTTAAGTTGCATGGTTTTATTAACGGTGGAAATGTATCTAATTTCACTTTCAAATTTGGTAACTTTTCAAAATATTTTGTACGTTTTAATTTTGAACTAATATGAAAAATATAAAAATGAGTAATTTTTTTTCTACTTGCAGCTAAAGAAAATATGAAAATTTTTAAGGAAAATGTTCGTTGCGCGGTTGGTGGAGGTATTGCAATGAAAGTTGGAAATATAGCAAGAGTAGAGTTAAACTTAGTTATGCCTTTATTATTTGACAAAAGCGATATATTGGAACAGTTTCAATTCGGAATTGGTCTACAATACTTATAAATAATTCCTATTTTGGGGTAGTAAATTATATATCCTACATTATTTTTATGTGAATCATATGCATTTAATGTAAAATAAATTACATTTATAAATTTATTATTCTTATGAAAGTACATTCTGATGCCATTAGAAATAAGTATTAGAAGAAACATTTCCAATAAAAATGATGATAAATCATATTCCTGAATTTTTTAATATTTTTTTTTTATTAAATTTGTTTATATAGTATAATTACATATGTTTTGTATATTGCACCAAACACATATTGTGTTATTGTTTCCTAAGAAAAGCAAAAGATTTCATCACTTAAGGTATGATTCATTAGTATTCTGCGTATTTGTTGAAAAAAAAAAAGAATTGTATAATTTATTTACGTTCTTCAATATTTTGACGAATTATTCTTTGCTTATTTGAATCATATAATTAATAATGAAAAACACATACATGAAATATAAATGGTATTTCATAGAATACAATAATATTCTTTAATTTCAAAGATTATGCAAAATCAATCTCATATAACTATTTAGTGTTTTATCTTCCATTGATAGCCTAAATGTGAATCGTTGTTACAGTAGCGCCTCTACTAAATGTGTTATAAATGACCCATGCAGCATCTAGTTGAAAATGGCCGCTTAAAAGTTATCGTTAAAATGTGTGTTGAGATAATGTGTCACTTTACAATGGAATCCTTCGAAATTATTGAAGAATCAAAGCAAAATATTGTATCTGAAGTAACAAGATTTATCGAAAATTCATTGTTAAGATATAGAAAGTGTAGTACAGTGAAAAATCAGTTGTCATATTGCAAACAAAATATCCTACGTGATTATAATTGTCACAGCTGTGGAGGCTATCTTTGTTGTATGTATCAGTGAAAACAGTTTGCTGAATTATAGCATTATTATGTATAATATTAAATTATAATTATGCCACTATGGTCTTACTGAAGTCTGAATAATACTTCGGAATGAATATACAATTATTTAACAATTTCTAATCTTAACAAATATCTAAAATATACGTGATAAATTGACGGAAATGTTTGCATCGTGAATATAAACGTTATATCGATTTCAAGTATATTTCCAAAAATGTAAAAATGAAGTTTAACATTTTTATTAGTTATTTAAATACTTGCTATTGAAATTATAAAGTTAGTAAAATATAAAGTTATTATATTGAAAGTCAGTATACATCTCTTATTAAAGAGGGATATAAAGATTATGATTATCGAATATTTCTTTACAAAATTAAAAAGAAATACGTGGTAATTTATAATTTTGACAATTTTTAAATTATAATCAAGTTTAAATAATCTAAAGTTTAATAGTTTAAATTGAATAATTTTTTAAGTTATAGGTTACTAAACAATTGTGAACAATATTTTTAATATGCTAAATTTTATTTTACAGCTAAACAAAGGAGATCTATGAGAATTGAGAGAGGTTATAGAGGAATATCAGTGTGTTGAATAATGTATGTAATAAAATTTAAATGATATAATTTTTCAAAAATTTAAATTTGTTTCTTAAATATAATATTTTTCTTGTAGTATTTTTGCTTCCTCGTTAAACATGTGTTCTATGTAGAGTTCACCTGCAGAAATCATAATGGAGGAGATATATCCAATGAACAATGCATTAAATGGGGAGGAAAACATGTCAAGTCCAAAAAAAGGAAACATGTTGCACAGTGTCTTTAATGCTTTGAATATAGTTTGGGAACAATTTTCTAAAGTTCCTGCTTCATTCATAGCAAGCATTAATTACCCATTGTCTGTAACAGTTGTGAACAATGGAGACATAATTTCACATGATTTTTTTAAAAATTTGACAAATAAAACAGAGCCATTAAATACTGATAATGTGTACATTCACGATGCTCAAGTAAAAGAATCTTTAAATATTGTTGAGAGAATTCATAATGATACATATAATGAAAAGAAATCTTACATGAACAAAATTTTTAATGAAAATATGAAAGATAGTTTCAATTTTGGTTATGAGTATATTGCTAACAAGAACCACATTGCAAACAAATCTGATCAAGAGGAATCAATTGTTCAGCAGAATGTTGAAGTTAATACAAATAACTATAATTACTTAATACCTGTTCAAAATTTGAACAAAATAAGTGAAGAGGACTTATTTGAATACATTTGTCCCAATATAAATACACAAAAAATGTATGCTAGGAAAAATTGTTATAACATTGAAGATAATTATAGTAGAAATGCTTCTAATAAGGGACAATTATTTAATTACACTAACAACAATGTGAATGATAAGATGATTATGAACATGGAAACTTCTTTTTTAACACGTAATATAGATACATTAAGTATACAGTCAGTTGAACAAATTACAATGTCCAATATGTTTACAAAGATGTTACAAAAGGTTTTTAGTGGTGTAACAGATCGACTTTGTAGAGCAGACTTTGTTGAATCAGATTTGGCAATGAAACGGTCATTTTCACCTAACCAACGAAGAAGGCTTAATGCTGTGGCAAAAAGTAGAGGTCGAGGACGAGCAAAGTCACAGCTAAGACGTTCAGGAGTTAGTCAAACGAGACACCGAAAGGAACGCATTAAGCACGACATTGCTGTAGACATAGAAAGTGATTTTAGAAATTGGCAAGAACTTCAAATGTATCATACAATGGAAAGTTTTCAATCACAAGACTGTTTTAGCTTAGATGAAGATGTAGTAGATGCTGTTCAACATATTATGAAGGAAACAGTGGATCCTCTGACATATACTTTAGCCGATATAAAACCTAAAATTCAGAAACCAAAAACACGCAAAAACGTTGATCAAGGAATATCTAAATTTTCTACAAAAATGAGAAGCATACCCGAATGCATAGAACAAACAAATATTTTTGAAGACGATTTTCTTGAAAATAGATACAATTTGCAAATGAATACATTTCGACCACGTTTAATATCAGAAAGTTCTATTGATTCAGAAGATAGTTATTGTATAGTATTTGAAACTGGTTCTGAAATAACTTGCACAAGTGACCTTGATGATAATGAGGAGATTGATGTAGATCAAACAAGCGAAGAAAGCGACATAGTTCGAGCAAGTGAAGATGAAGAAACATGTAAAGATGAAGGATCTATATCTCCAGTTCAAAAAGTAATTTATTATTTACTATTTAAATTACTTATTACAGTCCTGTGATAATAAGGAACGAGATTTTTATTGTAGGTAAAATTTAATTTAAATCCGATGATTCACATAATGGTGAAATGGGATTATGCGTATCGTGCAGCTCGGAAAGGTCCATGGGAGGAAATGGCTAGAGATAGAGAACGATTTAGAAGCCGTATAAATTGTATAGAACGTGTTCTTAATCCAATATTAACTGTTCAGCACAGAAATCATATTTGGCAAGAACGATTTGTACTTACCGATTAAAATTCGTATCCACCGTCTTCTTAAGGTAACAGTATCATTCAAAATTAGAATAGTATGGTATAGAGGAAGATGATGTATTAAAGGGAAAAAGAATGTGTATAATAAGTTTCTTAAAATGACAAAATAGGCTGTGAATATATGGTATAAGATGTCTATGTTAAAATATAATATGTTCATTAATTCAAATATACAATATGTTCACTAATTCAAATAAATTCTGTAAATTATAATATTGATTGGTAGACACTACATACTTGTTCTTACAAGAAATTCGTAATTCTGCAGGTTATAGATGTTTTTTCTTAGATAGTATATTATATTTAAGCATACAATTAAGTTCTAATTCTGATTAATGTGCAAAACACTGCTATTAATATAAAAAACTGAAAAAAAGAATAAGAATTTATATTATATAAATAAAAAATGCTTTTTTATTAATAATTTCCCAAAATACTTCATACAATTATGGGTAAATAGCATAGGATAATAAATAACGCTATTATTTACACGGAAACGCGCGCGCGCGTATACACATACAAAATACATAAATAACACGTATATTTATATTTTTAATTAAATTATCTCATCTTATTTATGTAAGCTAAGAAATATTCACAAATATTTGAATCGTACACTAGTCACTAAATGTATAAATTATTCGTCATTTTCTTTATACTAAAAGAAATTCACCAAAAAATAGTAATTATTCATGTTTCTTTTTTTCATTATACATTCTCTTCTTCTATGCAACTATTTTACAATAAAATTGAAATTGTTTTATAATATTTACAATAATGAAGTTATGGTATATTTTTTAAAGACGAAATTAAATCAGACATTTGGAATTATTCATATGTGTGACAATTTTACTACATATAATAGATATTTAATTTTGTATGATCCAATTAAATTCTCATTCATTAAATAATAAAATATATAGATAAGTGGACATTAATTACTAACTTAATCAAAATATATCTGTAGTTTCTAATTTTTTAATCATTTTTAATAATATGGAAATACAATAGTTTTTAATAATTATTAATTTCTAATAATTAAGTATATAAAAAGTAATGAATAAAAAATGTCCACTTTCATTTTTAACTGTAGATTTATTAATGCATGTTATTTGTTTCTCTTTTACTAGATTGTTATAATAAAATTCGATTTAATAATTTGAATACAACAATAGCAATAAATATTTGTTACTATATTTATTATGTAAAGTTATAATACATTTAATTTAAAGTGATTAAATATATTAATTAAAAATTTGCACTCAAATCAAGATTTATTATTTTGATAACAGATAAGTCCTATTTCAGTTTTAATTGTTATTTAATATCATATATATTGATATATGAAGTAAAGCGCCACGTATTGATATAATTGAAAATTTTATTTTAAATAATAGTTACGTTAAATACACGTGAGTGATATCAAGGAAAATATTTAGTGAATCAATATTCAATTTATGTTTAAATGTGTATTTACATAAATAATGTACATTTTTGTTATTATTTAATTGAACAAAGATAATTTTATTTTTAGTATGTTTAGAATTATTGATTCATACATTACACTAAAGAATGAACAGTTTGCTGAATTTAATGTAAATGATCGCGAAGAGAATAAATCGTTCTTGCTAAACTGGTCATGTATACTATGTATTTAAAATGAATTAGTGATTATTCTTTGTGTATATACGAAAATTGATGATATATGTGACGCTGTATGGTAAATTGTAATTTACTTTATCTGCACTTAATCAACAGTTTCTTTCCATTAGTAGCTTAGAAATGATTCTAATTTCTAATACATATAACAGTGAAGAAAAGAAGACTCAATCTTCACACATATAGTCGCTTATGTCTAATTCTTACTAAGAAAAACTAGGATAGTATTTTCACTTTGGAAATTAGAATAACATTGTATATATATCTAATATATAAATATATGTATATATTCAGCTGAATAAACACATTAATCTCTTTTATAATGGCTTATGAAACATTCTGCCCAATGAAATTTTCAACACCTGTTTAGTAAAAGTAACTTTCACTGGAAATATGATATTCATTAACAGAAGCAAGATTCTAATTAACATTTTACAGTTTCAATTAACACAATTTTTTATCAAAAATCGTAAAAAGAGAACCAGACTTTATGAAAGTAAAAATTAACATAGAGAATAACAAACATTTACGTATGGGATTTCATTAAAAATGAAATATGTTTGCTGGTTTAATTGTACATGTTATCACTAATATGACATTATTATGAAAATATTAATTGTACGCGTCTATGAAAAAGAAGTCGGAGGCTTGTGACGATTCTGACACACTATTAGATTCCCTGTCATGAGTAACTTGAGAAATTTCTCAGAGTTTAACAATGAATCTAATAATACAATTCAAATTATGTCAAGGGCAAGTTACATGACTGAGTGTTTGATTGGTGGTCAGAAAACTAACGTTGCAGTTACGGATCCTGCTTCTTAATTGTCCACCTACAGGTTCTTTTCGAAAAACAATGTTGTTTCGACACTGCCGTTTAGTTTCGATAGAATGGATACGATAGATATTTTTAACAATACCGGCAGCCTTATGACTAGTCGGGATGATTTATTAAAGCCTGTAATTAGATAACAAAACATTTCTGCTGTATAATGTAGAAATATGTTTCTTGAAACAAAAATGATAATAAAAATGTTATTTTTGAACTTTTATTCAAATAAAGATTAAAAAGTATCAGGAATTCAATATGTTCAATGTTTTCTAGTAATTTAAAATAATCTTTTATTTATTTTTGGAATTATACGAATACATAATACTCACGTAAAACGTATTAAGGTTCTGAATGTTAATGAATCAGTAAAGATAATTAAGTTAATTAGTTGCAACCTTATGTTTAATTTTTTTCTATAAATATTTATTATAAATAAATTAATTCGTATCATGGTAGGTACAGATGATAAGATAAAAAGATGAAGTAGAATAGTTTCAATCTTCGACTACTATACATTTTTGACATTGAAGTACAGAAAAAATTTTACGGAATTATCGTTCGTTCTATTTCATAGAAAATTACTTTATCGTAATCTGTGTGCGTTTTATTTGCTATAGGCTTCTCGCGATCAAAATGAAGGATACGCTCGAAAGATATCGAATTACGCTTAATTAGTGCACATGTATTGGTTCCAGTGTAGTTATATTGCTGGCAGTTGCTTTATTTACCAGGATTCCGTATCGTGCACGGTTTGATGAATCATGATTCCATGGAATTGAATTACAATTGCAGCATTAGAAATTTTGAATTTTTGCTGTAAGATATAATACGCGTGACGTAATGAAGAAACCCGTTAAGTAATAGAAACGTAATGTGTTGTTCGAAACCATTAAAGTATTTCATGTTTGAAAATGAATAATGAACGAATAAGATGATAAACTATATTTTGTATACGTTATACCATAGACTTCGTAATCGACATTTTATTTGCACTGCGTCTACTTTCTCAAATGCATTCTTTTCATCATTTTCATTAGAATTAGCTCTGTATACAATTTTTCTATAAAAATATACCCTAAAGGAAGGACCCTTAAGTAATCAAAAATTTTCATTTATTATTTATCTATAACTAACATGTCTATGGTTAGGAGAGTGATGATAAATGTGTAACAATTTGTAATAATATATTAATCATTGATCAGGAAATGCGTCAAACATCTGCAGTAGAAAGAATGTCGAGGAAAAGGTGAACCGGAAGAGGATGGGCACGATTTTAACTGGATGGTTGATGCAACAGAGAGGGCTACACCATGGACTTTTGCAACACTGCGTTTCTCGACACAATGTGCTGTTGACATAACGTTGACAAATTGACTCCCCTTTCTTGAATGTTGGATTGCATGACTGCAAAAATACAAAATTACTCACCAATTGCTTCTTGGCGTCGTACCATAGAATTATTGTGATTTTAATTAATTGTTAATGGTAACCTAATTAGCGCTGTTTATAGTAAATGATACCGGTGAAGTTTGTGTCTAGAAGAATAAAACAAATTGTTGGTACTCATTATTTGATTTAAATTGGGATTTTTTGAGCTTTTGTCGGTTGAAATATACATTTTTTATTTTTCTATTATAGTTTGTATATTGTATATTGCTTTTCGTTAATACAGCCGATCTTTATTATAAAATATGTTCTTTTAGTGTTGTAGTTGCAATTCTATAAATTGTGGGAAGTCAATTTTCCAATAGCAAAGACAGTTACCAAAGAAAGAAACGCAACTTTTGAAAGTATTAATTGAAGAAAAATGTTGCACTAAAAGGTACTATATAAGTAAATAAAAATACTAAAATATAAAATTATGTTTTGTATGTATCGAGGAAAATTTAGACAAATTGACAGTGTAAATAATATTAATAGTATCTACATAACGAATAAAAATTATTTTGTTATCCAATTTTGCGTTTATCTTTATTTATAATAATAGTTAAAATACCTTTAATTCTTTTTTATATTTTTAAATATTCTTTATTCGGTCTAACTAAACCGGATGTCTTTTAAAATGCCGAATACTATTGAATGATGATTCATCAAACAGCAAGTGTCATCTTTGCTTTGTTCTAACGTCTTGTTCCCTTTTTATCAGATTACCATGCTTCGCGATTCCGTGCATCACTTTTGTACCAACAAACTGATCTAAAAAAAAAAAAAAAAATATAACTATTCGAGCATTATTCAATGCGATCTGCTTTCATCTTTTCACGATCGATGATGAGGACAGGAGATTGTGTATGGCGCATATGTGAAATTCCGTGCAGCGCGAGAAAATTTTAGAAGACTTTTTGTTTGGTAGATAATATATAACAGTTGTCCCAGTTTTCTAGCTTCTAGCGATAAGATCTTTGTATTCTGTAACAAGATACGCCCATTTAATCTCGTATCAATGAATCGTCTATCTCCAATGAACGTATAGATTACAACTTATCCTTGATGAGATAATTATTATTGACGTTAATAATGTCTGGTAATGATACTATCGAAAACAGAAAGAAATTTGTACTTCAATTAGAATTTGAAGCACTATTTTCTGTTAAAAAATGTAGAATATTGGTATTGAGTTTAAAACAGCATATGTAACAGTAAGTTGACCAATACAAGGTTCTTTAATATTAATCTCTTTATTTATATTTTAAGTCAGTTTACTTACATTTTCTTTCGTTTTCTTTGTTTAATACATCTATCGTTTATCTTTTATATTTGTCTATATCTTAAATTTCTTTCTTAACATTTAAGTACTTGTGATATTTGCGATACTCTGAGCGTATTAACACTCATAATTCGTGTATAAAGAATCTTTTCTTTATCGACTGATAATTCAACGTCAGTTTTTAAATCGAAATGTTTCTGTTTAAAATCGATAGGTGGCCATTTCGGAACAGATCGTCTCTTTAGATCGCAAGCTGCTATTGCGGTAGTTTTATATATCTTTAAATATTTAGAAATATTTAAGAAATACATGCATTTGCTTATTTTTCTCATGACATTTCTAACGATACATCGGTATCTATGTCAGGAACAAAAGAATTAAATTAATTTCTTGAGATCTTATGAATTTTTTATTTGTAATATTAAAGTACGTATTCTTTAATCATAAAGGATGTTCCATGTTTACTTCTTTTTCATAAGTCGTTAATGGTTGAGGTTATGTTTTCTATATGACTCAAATAATTATTTTTTGGTCGCTTTGTTTACTACTAAAAAAATATTTAAAAAATGCAGTATCTCGTATACAAAGTTACAAAAACATATTTGCAATACTTCTTTTGTGATTGTTTTAATATCTGTATGATAAATCGTTTGTCGCAGAAGAATAACATTAAATTGAGTGAATCGTTCACGCAAAAGATTCGAATGAATCCGACAATTTTATGGAAGATTTTACAAGCTCTGTACACGTGTACGCATGCATGCACTGATATAATTCAATTAGATCGGAATGTTGCTACCATATGTTCCACAATGCAACAATATCCGGTTACGGAACTTTTAAAAAATTACACCATTCACATATCCGGTATAAAATCATCTTTAGTTTGCCTTTAATGGGGTTGTAGACTAACAGTATTGTATTGTTAGTCTATGATTATGATTTTTTAAAAATAAGAGATAAGTATGTAAAAACTTATATTATTTTATTTTAATTAATTTTAATTTTATTTTATGGAGATACTATATGTGGAAACTACATGTTCTCAAGACTGGAAAGTTAAATATCGAGTATTGTTATGTGGAAAATAACTTATAATAGACCAATGGAAGTATTATATTGGAATCGCAATTTTATACCATATTTTATTCTTCTTTTTGTTCTTATGGTTGCTACACTTTCTGAAATATTCAAATTAGGATATGTCTGAAAACATTTAAAATTGTAAAGTAAGTCAGGTCATTTGTCTCAAGATTTAATCTTACATTAGCAATCGCAGTAATCAGAATCCATTCAATAAATTGTAATTAATAATTTTTCAGCTCTGTGTTCAACGATAGCCACCTTCCCTGGAATACTTGGAAGGCTATTGTCGATGTTACTAAACCTCGCGACAGATAACCGGTTGCAACACGAGTTGAACCTGACATTCCGGATTTACGACAATGTTTCGCACCACGTGGATCATTATAGTAAGTCAAGCGACTTGTATTTCTTTCTAAAAAAGAAGAATGTTATATATGATTATTATGCAATCTTAAAATGTCGCGAATGGAAATTTACAGTCAAATGTGAGTGTATAGATGCTACATTTAGTTATCTACTAAGGTATATAACTTTGGGGAAATAAAAATATTTACCAACGGATTATTTCTTTCTTTTATTGTATGTGATATGATGCATCGATGGAACGAACTCCCACTCCTAAGCTGGAATGTAAACGACATAAACCTATATAAGTGATGCGAAATGGAAGATTACGGCTTTTTCCCATTTCCTTCATTTCTGATAAACACGGAGATTACTTTGAAGAAAACGCTTCTTTTGTGTACATCGAGTGTAATTTTTGTAAGAAAGGTGCTAATGAAATTTTTGAATTTTTTACAGTTCCCAGAAGCATCCATTTCCAGTAACCAAAAAATCGCTTTCGTCATTTTCTTTCAAAATCTGTATTATTTGTCGTTGACGACAAATTTATATAACGGGCAAGTAAAAAAAATATAACATGTGGATCTTGAAAAAAAGGCGATATGAAACTTTATGGTAGTGGGGCGAGGACGTTTGCACAAGTTGTTATTACACGAAGCTTTATTTAAGGAAGTGCGAGACTTCGGGACAGTATATGATAAAACACGTACAGGTTTCCTTTCCAGAACTCTTCAAGCTACGAACTGCTGCTCAGTCTCGCTGACAGGTCAATAAGATCTCTCAACTTCTGTCATTCTTCGAAAACTTTCATCAAGCGAAATCTACGGGAGAGTCAATAATGAATTCTCACAATTAATATCAGTAAAAATTTCTTTATATTCGACTAAAATGTTTCACTAATTTACGAAACAAAGATTAGACATTTTGAAAAGCATAAGAAAAATGGTAAATTTTATATACTTGCAATTCTGATATTACATTTGTCGATCATTTAACCGAAATTCTGCTCAAAAATGGCTTTAAACTAAAAAAAAAAAATGATTTTATGGTACAAAATTAAAAAATTTTCCGATCGAAGACCCTATTTTTCCAATCAGCGATATACTTACCATGCGTCATCCAACTACCAGTATTGTTTTCACAACTGTTCACCACAGTATATAATTGACGAATCGCGAAAACGGTGATCAATGCAGGTCGCTCCATCGACGATGAAGATATTCGTCGCCTGTTTCGTCACCTGCGCGCTGTTAAACCAAGAGGTCGTATTCGCAAGCAGCCTCGACGCTTCAGAAAACAAAGAGAATGATGGCCAAGTAGAAGACGTAGAATACATATTACCGACTACGTTGGAGGGTTTTTCGATTAATAATCATCAGAAGTATGGAAACACAGGGCAACAGCAAATCGATTTAAAGACATCGAGCGCAAAGTCGTCCGCGACGAGTTTCTCTTCGTCCACGCGAGAAACGTCAAAAAATGCGGCGTCATCGGCGGCGCTTTTGTCGGCCATGAATGAGAAACTCGACATCGGGGAAGAGAAAGCGACACTGAAAATGGAAGGAGGAGCTTTGCACGAAGTTCTAACCGTAAGAGAACCGTTGTCCAAGGAGAAATCTGTTAGCAAGAGTTCAGGTACTGAGATCAAAGGGATTGAAATTCCAAAATTGAAAACTGAAATAGGGTCGACGGAATCCAATTGGCACGATATGAAGGAGGAATCTGAGGGCAAAGGGAAGAAACAGGTTGTTTCCAAGACCTATGTGACGGAAGGACCGGTGGTTAAAACTTGGAGCTGGTCTACTAAGGTAAATGAATCGAAGAGTTCTTCCAGCGAGGAAATACGACTTCTTAAAGAGGCAAAAATGAAGGCTGAAGCTAGAATTAAATTAGAAGCAGAGGCGCGAGCGAAAGCCGAGATGGAGGCGGTGGAAGTTCGACGGCAGCTGCAGCTTAAATTGAAGGCTCTTAGACAGGCGCAAGCAAAGATTCAGGAGGAGGCAGCAGCTCGAGCAAAGGCTGAAGCTTTGGTGGTGTCGGAGTCCAAAGCTTTGGTTGCCGCGCGAGCAATTGCAGAAGCTAGTTCGGCAGCAGCTGCACAGGCGAAAGAAAAGGCGAAGGTGGAAGAAGAAGCTCGTTCTCAACTACAGACTAAAATCGTATCGATACTCAAAACTCGTAGAACCAGCAAAACGGAAGTTGTAATTACGGAAGAAATAATCGAGAAGGCGAAACTCTCAGCAGAAGCTTCTACAGTCGCTAGCGAGGCTGCAAAGGAAGCTGCGCGAGCAATCAGGATCGCGGCTATGGCTCGAGCAAACGCCGCTGTGAAGGCCTTAGCTGTTCAGAGGGCCACCGTTGTTCAGTCAATCGCTGTTAGTAATGCTAACGCTGCGGCTAGTACGCTGAAGCTTGCACTTGAGCAAGCTATAATTTCTTCAAAATCTGCGTTAGCTTTACAAACAGAAGCTTTTGCCATAATGAGCCAGGCGGTAAAGGCAGCCGTCGCCGAAGGGGCTGCTGTCGATTACGCGAAACATAAACTTGCGATACTTATAAGCGTGTCTGCTAGAGCGAAAGCTTCCTCAGAAGCGGCTGCTAGTGCGTCTGCAGCTACTGCTGTTGCGATTAATAAATTAGCGAGCTTGCAGATGAGTAATGAGAAAATTGCTAGCGATGCTGCTGCCACGCAGGAAGTTACAGTTTCGAGAGCAGAAACTGCGCTCGTGGAAGTTAGAGCAGCGGCTAAGGAAGAAATGACCTCTGTGGCTGAGGTGGATGTTCAAGGTTCCACAATTGAAGCTGCGGCTGCAGCTCACGCGAATCCGATTCAAGGCGTGAGAAATGGAGTTGTCATCGGATTGGGTTTGTCTGGTACTCTAATTAATGAGCAGCAAGCGGAAGTACTGAGGCAGACAGTCGCAAATTGGAAGAGTGGAGAGAAAGGAGGGATTGGGGGTCATTTATTTCCAAAGTATGAATAAATGTAAGAAGAAGAGAAATGATGTTTTAATTTGTTTAGATGAAGAACAGGAGGAATGATAAATATAATGTTGTAGCAATGGACTTGGTCTTTTATTGTTTCCGTTTTCCTGAAATCCCTTTGTTCTAATTTTTCATATTATAGACCTTACAAGCGTTCTACGTATTACTGATGAAAATATAAAAAGTAAAGTTATTGTATATATTTTAATGTATATTTTATGATGTTTTAATTTGATTAATAAAGTATATTTGATAAGACAAAATCACTCCTTTTTACTTGTTGACCTGTACTACATACTTACATACATGCGTGCCTTCGTGCTGAAAAAATGGCGTTTAAAAATAAAGTTTAAGATAGACATTATGGTACTTATTAGTCAGGATCGGTATATTCTACATTAAATTCTTCTTCTAAATCTTCTAAAATCTTTAAAACTGGTATAATGAAGTTGATAAAACAATATTGTTATGTTTAATAATAGGACCACAATATCCAATACAAAATTTAATGATTTCTGACCTTTTACGTATGTCTTTATCATGAAAATGTTACCAAATTAGTGATTAAATTCAAAAGCGTCATTTTATAACATAACGTGTAGAAATAAATACCAAAAGACTCAGACTAAAAGAAGCGAAAAGATTACTATTATAATATCTACCTATTCCTGTCAAAGCTGGTAGCAATTGTGATTTCTAGACATGATTTTTTCTATTTTATACTTCAATAGAATTTATATGGCAATCATAATTTTTAATCATAAAAAGCCACAGTTAGTTGTCATTTCTGCTCAGACAGAAGATAAAAACGAGTCTAAAGAAATAAACAAGCTAAAATAATGGAAAATTAAAATACTACTTTTGATTCGTTTAAATATTCTCTTTGACTCGGTTTTGGCTAGTAGGCCATAACACAAAATCGTAGAAAGTAAAACGTCATCGGAAACGATATGCAAGGATAGCCCATAAATTATTGAAACTTGTCGATCACCTAACACCTAACATCCTCCGTTCCCAATCCATTGATAACCGCACTTAATTAAACATCTTCAGTTCCAAACCAAATATCATCGGAAGCATCCCGAGGAACGGGCTGAAACAATATTTTCAATCACGTCAAACCAGACTGCATCATCCATTATTTTCACAACTGTCCGCGGCGCTATAAATCCGTCCAGCAATCCACACCCGGTATCAATCCGCGAAGCGACGTCGAACATGAAGATTCCAGTACTGCTCGCAACGTGCCTCTACCTCTGGGGGTTAGCGTCCGCCAGTCTGTTACCATCCCATGGCGGTAAAGGTTCCTCTTCACTGCTTCATCTCGTCCAGGGTAGCGCGTCGGCCACCGCTTCCGCTGCTGTAACCGCCAGAGCAGGACTTCGTGCAGGCCAGGTAGCCCTGGCCTCGCAAAAGGACGCCGCCGCGCAAGCGGCAGCTTCGGCCGCAGCTTCAGCGCAGGCACGCGCCTCTGCGGACCAGACGGCGAGACTAAGCCAAGAATCGGCAACGTTACAATCGCAAGCTGCCGCTAAAGCTAAGGCAACCGAGGAGACTGCGGTCGCTTTGTCCAAAGCTGAGCTGGAAGCTGAATCTATCGCTGCAGCGGCCAGTTCTGCAGCCAGGGAAGCTGCGACTTCTGCAAAGGCTTCAGCATCCGCGCTGTCATCGGCTGCCTTGCAAGCGAGACTTGCCGCGAAGGCAGCTAACTCCCAAGCTAAAGCATCCGCGGAAGCTAAGGCCAAGGCGGTAGCCGCAGCTCAGTTGGCGGCCGCCGCAAGCTCAGCTGCGGCCGCGGCGCTGGAAGCTGAGAGGCACGCGGAAGCCGCCATTGCAAAGGCAGCTGCTGCAAAGGCAGCAGCCAGAGCTGCCGCTGCCGCGTTAGCCGCTTCAAAGGAAGCAGCCACGAGCAGCGCAAGGAGCGCTGCTGAAGCCGAGGCTAGAGCCGAAGTTGCTGCACTTATCTCAAGCATTGATGCGAAGAGCAGGGAGATCGACGCGGCTTTGTCAGCCAAGGCTCGTGCTGCCGCAAAGGCAAGCTCTAGAAACGAAGAAGAGGCAATAATTGGGGCTAACATCGATCTGGCGAAACAAGTCGTGAAGATTCCTTTGAAGATACCGGAAGTCCCTAAGCCAGAACCGAAATCTTGGAAAGACGAAGAGCCGGAAATGAAGGAACCGGAGCATAAGAAGAAAGGCAATGAATGGACACGTTAGAGGAAAATGAATTGAGTAACTGGGGGACGTGATTCGTTCGAGAGTAATGTTTGGTCGTTGTAGGATGTATTAAATGTTTCGGGAGGAAATACACATGTCAATGTTGCCTATAGTTAGACAGAGATTGTAATGATGAAAATAAATTGGTTTAGCATATACGTAGCCCTGTGGTGTTATTCCTTGCATTGCCTCTTTGTTATTCCAGCAGAATGACAGCTTTAGATGGATCTTCGAAGATTGGAAATTTAATTTCTAGTTCTTCTACTTTTCCTCCAGTTTTCTTTCTCGAATGTTTAATTAAATATCTACGAGTATTAATTATACTGTATGCCATCATGTTTGGTGTATTTAAATAAAGAAATTATTGCTAGTAATCGAATGTTCTTGCTTTTTATTTCACATATTATGTTAAGCTTTCCTTGATTGGTTAGAACGAGGTTAATCTGTCACCAACGAATCAGATGTAAAGTTGGTAAAAATGTTTCGAATAATTCTCATTTCAGAATGATACTTTTTTTAAGAATATTTTCAATATCGTAAATAAGACAAAAGAGTTATTGCGGAAATAAATAATATGTTGGCAGCCATAACGATGATCAGTCGTTACGATCAAAATCGTAGAAATATTATTAAAAAACATTACTAAGAACAATTTTATAGGTCATTATCGTAATAAAATTATCGCTATCGTAATGCTATTTTCATCAAATACTCTCGTGAATACTTACATAAAAAGAGAGAAGAATGTAGTATCATTTACGTTATTTATTTTACTCAATTTTTATGCGTGGAGAATAATTGTATACGAGTATTACTAGCTCCCTTTATGGAAGTTATTGCTGTAATACAATATAACGATATACTAGTACAATAAAAACTATAGAAGCATATTAAAGAAAATGTTTTCTTCATTGTATACTGAACCTGATCCTAGAACCTATAAAACCCTACCCTCTACGATTTTTGCAATCTTCGTTTTGCACCCTATTACAAAGTTTTGTGATACATTATACTAAATTATCGTATTAATACATCTGTTTCAATATTGGACAAGTAATAAGTAACTTCTGCAGTAGTCAATTGTTAAAATAAGTATCACTGTAGGAATGAAGATATTCGTTCCATTATTTACACATTTCTTCATAATGCTTGCAAGACTCACTTTCCGCTAATCCCCTTTTTATATTAATTAATCAAATTCATTATCACCCAGTCGTGGATATGTTTTGAATTAAATTTTAGACATTAGAATTAGTCTAAGTGATTAAAACTAATATCTCAGTTCGTTTTGTACATAATAATTGCGAAACAACTTCCAAGAATCATTCAGGCACTTGAGAACTTCAACGCTGGGTTAAGAAACGTTCTCCATCAGTCTATCTTCACAATAATATATGCTTGTAAAGAAAAGAAAAAACAAGCGTAGATGCTGGAAGTATAACAAATAGAACAACCGAAATATTTATATCGATCAACCATAAACTTATTAATTACCCTCCTCCGAATCTAACCGAAAGATGTGCTCGATCTACAAACGTCTTCTTGCACGTCTTCTTCTTGCGTTGTCCGAAGAAGCGATCACCAGATACCTAACAAGAGGAAAATATTTAATCACAAACAATCACGACACCTAACTAAACACGGACTAATAACAAATTCACCACGAGGCCTCCTCCCTTTCAGTACTCCTTAAAACAATATTTTAGGTTCATGTCGGAACAGACACGAATTTCATTGAAAACACCTGCTGTTTTCACAATTGTCCCGTCACCAGTATATAACCGCGAATGATCCTCCGATTCGACATCAATTAGCGAAGCTGCGTCGAACATGAAGATTCCAGCAATATTCGTCACGTCACTGCTGGTCTGGGGGCTGGCTGAGGGCCACTTGGTGAAACGTGACAAGCCGCCGCACTCGAAACCCCTACCAAAAGCACCAAAGCAGCTCGGCGATGGGTCTGACACGCTTGGCTCCTCCATGGAAAACGCGCTAAAAGCAGCCAGGGCGTCGGAGAACGTGGGATTGAACTTGGAACTGGGGGCAGCCGCGCGGACAGCATCCGCGGCAGCTGCGAAGCAGGCTGCTGAGACGCAGAGAGCAGAGGCTGGAGCAAAAGCAGCAATTGTCATTGCGATCGCTAAACGAGAAGAAGCAATCAAAGCAAGCCAAGCGGCTAGCCAGTTGCTGACCACTGCCGCGAAAGCGAGCGAGGCGACTGAAGCTGCAGCAAGAAGAGCGGCACAGTTGACGGCTGCAGCAAAGGCGGCTGCTAGGGCTTCTGCGTCCGCGGCTGCGGCTGCTACAGAGGCCCAGGTAAAGGCGAACGCTGATTCGATCATCGCGAAAAAAGCTTCGGCTGCCGAAGCTCAAGCTGCAGCAGAGGCTAATGCCAAAGCGGCAGCAGCCAGGAAGGCGGCGGCCAGATTCTTGGCCAAAGCTGAGGCTGCCGCCAAGGCAGAATCTGAGGCGACCAGACACGCTGCTGCGGCGGAAGTAGCATTGGCAAGGGCAAGAACCGTCGTGGATCAATCGCAGAGTGCACAAGCAGTCGCTACCACTAAGGCTACCGCGGCTGTTCAATTGGAATCTCAAGCAGCGAACGCTGAATCGGCCGCTGTGGCACAAGCGGAGACTCTGCTGGTCACGGCAGAAGCAGTCGCTGCCGCGGAGGCTGAGACTGCCTCCAAAGCCGTAGCACTGGCAAAGCAGATCATCAATAAGAAGAAGCTGTCGTCGGGAAAAAAACAGTAATAAGGAGGTAGAGGATGGTAGATGATTAAGCCAGAGGATTGGCGGGTCAAGAGGCAAGAGACCGTTGTCAAAGGGACAAATGCGATTACTTTGATTAAACTGGCGGGATAATATGAAGGCAGATAAAGATTAACACAGCTGAGATTCGTCCGTGTATTGTTTTAGTGAAAATAAATTGTCGTAGCAACTCCAATTTTGGCAAATGCATTCTTTTTTTATTAATGATGCGCTCCTATATTTTAATTCCTTTTCATTTGTTCCACACCGAAGAGAACATGTAACTGAGATATTCGAACCTTTCTTTTTTGACAAGTCTTTTATGATCTGCGTTGTCTGAAAGATAATAACTGCGATGTAGAAATTTTAAGAAAGTTTCATAGTATATGTAACAAATGCAACTATATATAAAAGAAATAAACAACAATTATATCAATTTGATGTATTTATTAATTGTGAAAAATCAATTATACCTAAAGCCGATTAAGATGCGTCTGGCACGATTCTTTAAGGAGAACCTTTTTTCAGAGCGATTTTTCAAATTCTATGTCAAATTTCGTTTCACCGAATTTCTTCAATTATACGCGAAATCATGTTAGGTGAAATATGGTACTACGTTTCCCGTAGACTCTGCAATTATGAATATTACTAAGATGTAATTAAACCTGAGATGGATATGTATGATAATAAACTATTTAAAACACGAATTATGAAACATTGTGTTGCTTAATAAACCAATATGATCCCACAGACGTTATTCATCGTTTCGTTATACTTTCCATTCTGGATGTGTATTTTGAAACAGAAAGTATCTGTATGTTGTATATCTATAAATAAATGTACTGTGACATTATCGTGATTCTTGATCTCTACATTAAAATATTTTTAATAAATCTATCTAAACATTTCAACAATTTTCAAATTTTTTTCAAGTTATGATAATTAATTTATCGAAATGATTTCCAAATATGATCTAACTATGATCAATATGATCAACGATCGATTAAAAGGTCAGATATAAAGATCAACGATTAATTCTTCACCCGAAGTCTTAGCTACTCGATACGACGAAGTTACTATTCAAGTGCACCATCTGTTGTAAAATCGAGGATGAGTTTCGTCGCTAAGCTATTAAGTTAGATTATCTTATGTTATGATTATGTTATGATTATCTTATCCTACAACATGTTCCAACAACATCTTCATTACAAACCTAAACGTCATCAGGAAATAAGGTTCAATACCAAGGCTAAAAATCTGCTCTAAATATCGAAGAATAATACCAGCGAACAACCATATCTCTCTATTATTCCACCAAACATTTACCTTCCAAAAAAGAAAACTCTGCTGCGACAACAAAATCACACGCGTTTTCTCCCAAAAGAGCATCGCGCACCTGAAAATACTACCTCCGGACACAAATATTAAGATACAACTTCATCAAGACAAGAACAACAATGCCGATCCGCACCATTAGCAATAATATT